TGCAACTTGTAGAGGAACGCAAGGAACACAAGGTACATCATCTTCAAAGCCCCCGCCTGCGCGTGCGTTTAGCGCGCACGCTCACTCACCAATGCTGGTGGGGGGGCTGTCTGGGGCCCTACCGATTTCCACGTCAGGTAATTCGAGGGGGGGGGTAGGGGGGGTGTACTCATAGTCGTGCATGCCGTAGTCGTTTGGCCATTGACCTCGCATCCCTACAAAGCCGGGACGGAGCACGCCGGGTTCTCACCGGACCAGGCTCTCACATCACCAAGCGCGAAGCGCCGTGAGGTATTTGGCGAGTCGCATGAAGGGTGAGCTGCATCCTGCTAAGGGTGTTCGGCATCTTGTGCTTACTTCCTTGCGTACGGATGACAGCTACGTATGACTTAATTTATTTTCTGGTGCTTTCACTTCCAGAGACAGTTGTAAGCACTGTGTAGCTGCCTCGAGGATGCTTGACCATTTTAACACAACGTGGTGCGATCATCCCCCGTTGCGCGGAGTGAGGTTTCTCGACCCCGCACAACATGATCTACTCGACCACCATTATGGCTACCGCCAAAAAAAAAACGAGGGAAAAAAAAAAAACGGTAACCTGGTTGCCGAGTTCACGAAGTGAATTGGCTTGTTTTACAACGTCGTTGCCAAGCGACGAAAACCCAATCCCGATGGCAAACACCGGGGGGGGGGGCAGGTGTCAGTTGCCTGGTTCACGTGCTGTTATTTTGAGAAAGGGCCGGTGCGGGAGTCGTCCGGTGCACATCGTGTGCTCTTAGATTGTTATTCCCTCGCCCGTGCGGTTCCATGACCTCGATCTACGGCATGCAGTATACCGCTTGGTGGCGAGCGGCAAAAATTATGCTCACTCTCCATATGGAAACATGCAGATAGTATTTCTGGAAACATGCCAATGCCACATTTGCCGCAGCTCTCGGGCCGTTCATGGTTGCAAGATATCGTGCGTATTCAGCGTCACCAATAAATGAGGTGGCCGGCAGCAATACGTGCACAGGCGCGTCCATCGCCGCAGCGAGGTCGTGCATCTACGAAAGGACTTAGAGGGACCGCCGAACCCCTGTTTCCCCCGCTTGCATGAATGAATGCTGCTGTAGCGTGCATGCCCCCGACAAGAAAATGTGGGCATACTCCATCAGAGACATCGGAGAAAACGTTCATCGAGTGAACAGAGGCACGGCTCGGGGTACGACGTACTCCAACTTCATTCTGAAAGCAAAACCACAACTACCTTGAATTATTGAATAACATGAGAAATATGTGCTAAATGCCAGCAAGTACATCCGTCACAAGGCGGAACGAACTCGAGTAAGAAAACAGCATCAGCAGAGGAGCAAAAGCCGATATTACGTTGAACCAAAACGCGAATTAGCAGACCACACACGGACGAGTGTCGATCGAAGTCTCTCGGGCAGGAAACGGGAGTCGAGTGTATCCCACGCCGCACATGCAACGCTGGATATACAAGATGCCTCCACAACTCTGCAGGTAAAGCACCGCAGAGGAACCGCTGATACATTCTTTGCCTACCGGTGTGAACTCTGGGGGGGGGGGGGACGACACAAACCATTGCCTCCAGCTCCGCTCCGAGAGAAAGATGGAGCGAGAGAAGCTCAAATTGAATTTGCGAGTTTGCCGTCCTTTCGTTCCTGTTCTGCTGTGGTTTCTCTTCGTACGTCACAGAGAGAGAGATTTTCTAAACAGCAAGATGTCATGGTCCGATCATGTTCCGATCCCCGGGGAACGGAAGAGCTGTGCAGCGCCTGGCATCACCTAGACGCCTCGTTCAGCGACGCGGGGCTCACAGCCAGCAGGGAAAAACCATCAGATGCATGCATAGATGAGTACAACCTCGACAGCGAACAATAAGGAAGTTCAGCTACAACAATATCATAGTCTATGTAGGCCGCACAAGAGAACTCGTGTGTGAGGGCTATTCCGCCGCGTGCCTCTATAAGATTCTTTCTGGGCGACTGGTTTTCCTTCCTGTTGCTCGAAGGGCCGTATCGTGCATCTACTCCTGCTGGCAGAGGCAGGACACAAGCCTGGGTGACAAGTACGCACGCCGCCTACCATTGGACTCTTCGCGTGTGGCCATACAGAAGAAGCAGCAGCGGCAGCAGCAGCAGCAGCAGCAGCAGCAGCAGCAGCAGCAGCAGCAGCAGCAGCAGCATTTGAAAGTATTCTTCAACCATCTCCCTTTTCCTTTCACAGGCACCACATGCTTACTGCACTTCTGCAGCAAGCTGCAGTTGCCTCACACCCAAACGCCTCGCATCTACGCAACCACCATGCGTGAAATCGTACCTCACCGATAGCTGGAGGCTCGTGCGTGGCGGAGCTCCAAGCTGGAGCAAGGTGTCGGGAGGTAGCAGTAGACAAAAGATCGCACACAAATGCGCGAGAGGGAGGAACAGGATGACAATAAATCGGAACATGGGGGTGACGCAACTGGGCTCTGCCCGGGGGCTCACATGTTGTTGCTGTGGGCAGGGCGCAGCACACACTGCACAACCTGAACACCTGCTGCACAACCGAGAGTCGTACAGTAGTAGACACAGGACATTAGACACAGGACCACACAGATTTTCGACAGGATTAGACGTCCAGGGAGAGATGCTGGGCTCCGGTATGGCATGGAGGCATTCCCGGGTTGCAGCTTCTAGGAACATGACGAGGCTCCGGAGTCACAGAGCATTTTCCAGTGCTCCCGCAGGACTGGGAGATAAGGCGGCCGGGTGAGAGTCCGCATTTACTGTCGTGCACAGCAGTAGTTGAGGTGACTGGATAGCGCACCCACGCCCACTGCCTGGAGATCCGGGTTGACATATTTCTATATATATGCATAGCAATTTTGTCTACAGGTACAGCATTCAGTGTGTGCCATCTCCATCGTCTCATCCCAAATCCACTGCTGTACGGTCAACCGCTGTACGTCGGTAGTCACTGCTTGCACTCCTACTCCTACGAGTATGTAGTTTTACTGCTGTATGCTGTCCGCGACAGAGGTAAGCATGCATGATGGAATTCGAGAGCACTGCAATGCAACGGCCGAGTGCCTTTTGAATAGTTGAAGTATCACCGGCGCGGCAGCATGGATTGCTGTTGGCCCACCAGAGCTTTGCTTGCTATGCACTGCTGCAGACTGCTGTACATGCGTGTGGTACAGTACAGTAGTACAAAATACCAAGGTACACAAGAGCAGACAGGTTGGCATGTGCACCAGCCGTGGATATGGCGGTGCTTGAGTCGTTTATAGTCGCTGCTCTGCGAACAATCGAGGTAAGTCTCCAAGAACACGGAAAAGACTAGAAATAAGTCCAGGTTTTCCTCCACTCACTGAAGAGAAGAGACTCCAACACATCGCGTTCGACTGCGGTGGGTATTTTGTATTTTGTATCTCGAATGGGTAGTCTTTCTGCGCGTGTGTTTGTTTTTCCTTACATGGAACCCGTCGTTTCAAAGTCAAAACGGAACTGTTCATTCGGCAGCATATATGTGAAATCAGTGAGGGCATTGCGATTGGTCGGTCTTTACGCCGAGTCTAACGGCGCATGACACATGCTCAAAACTATGGACTACATGTAGTAGCATCCTACAACACATCGTCCGTGAGTCGAAAACGCCGACGAAACCATGCAGACGAAAGAGAGCGATGCGCATCACCCGCAACCTACGCCTCCTTAGAATACAGTGGAATGGTTCCGCTATAACGCCGGTCGAATAACGCCGGTTCCCCTGTGTAATGCCATCGAAATAATCTGGCACAAATGAAATATTCGGTTGTTTCATGTTCTGAATAATGCGGGTTGCCCGCTATAGTGTCAGTGAAATCGGCCGGATCGCTACCGTACCTAGGCCCTGTCTCGACCAACATGGCGGTGAAACTGCCTATAAATAGAACACGCCCGGCTAGGCTAGACGCTAACTATGTAGGCAAGCACGATTATCATTGTCAGCTCAGCTCAGCTCAGCTCAAGGCTCGCGCGGGTTGTGGTGCTCCGTAATGAATCTGTAGCGTTGCGTTAAACCCATCGTTCCATGAGGTTGAGATTTACTCCTCTCCCTTTCGGCCTCCTGCTTGGCATCCTCCAGGTGGGAGTACGACCACGACGTGCTCGTGGTCGGCGGGGGCATCGTAGGCTGCACCCTGGCGTGTCGCCTCGCCAAAGACCTCTCGTCTACCACCCCCTCGACGATCGGTTTGCCTCCCCTCAGCACGGGCAAGGATGACGGTGGTGGCAATGACGTCGGCCGGCGGCGAAGGCGGCGGCGGCCAGCGGTGGGACTGATCGAGGCTCGGCCCCCGCCGTCCCTGGAGGCCGCCTTGGCCAGGGGTGCCCCGGACCCCCGGGTTTATTCTCTCGCGCCCTCGTCCGTGGAGATTCTTGGGAAGCTTGGGGTTTGGGACGAGGGAGGGGGGGTGCTAAAGGGCCGCTCGCAGCCGTTCGGGGGTATGCAGGTGTGTGCGTGTCTGTGCGTGTGTGTTGGTTAGCATCGTCTGTCTGAGCTGTATGCAAGTTCGTCGGCATCAGCGCGTAAAAGGCGGTGTGGGGCCAAGCTCCGGGAAGTGGACGTCGCCCAGCAAGCGTCTCTAGCCCTTGGCGAGAAGCACGCCAAACAAACACGCGCATGGACCACCCGTGTGTGTGGTTTTCGTTTGTAGTGCGTTGAGCGCGCTCTAGGAATCCGGCGGACCAAATGAATATCCTTGTGTGTGTGTGCATAATTCTGTGACGAAAATTCAGGGGTGTGTCGCTAAAGTGTTTAGTTTGTCGACATCGACAGCGCTGTGTAACCGGTTGACCAATAGAACGACGTCAGCGTCCGTGCGTAAAAGGCGAGGGGGGGATTTCAGAGGAATGTGCGACGCCCCAGAAAGGCAACGTTGACCTACCTCTCTACGAAACCTTTTCGAGATACACACACTGTTATATTTGCGTTTTGTGTGTTTAGCGTGCCATATGCTTTTCGACAGCATTCACACATTTACAGGAATGTAATTGTAGCGTCAATAATCCGAGGTGATACACCAATCGAACAACGTGTTGAACTCTTCTATGCAAGTGAGAGTCTGTTTCATTCGATTAGCTTGGAGATGAGACGTCGAAACGCATCGCAACGATTCTCGCACAACTCTGTTTTTCCTTCCAACAACTCCTGGTACATCTCCATCCCAACCCTGAGACTCTTTGACACCTGTAACGGCACCCGAAACGGCACCCGAAACGGCAAAGGTTTGGGACGACCGAGGAGCTGGGCACCTGCGGTTCGACGGGGAGGGGAAAGGGGGAAAGACGACCGCTCTGGGTTTCATATCGGAGCACGGCGTTATCCACTCGTCCCTCTTCGAGCGCGTGCGGGAGCTCGAGGCTGACGGGTTGGCGGAGCTGACGTGTCCTGCCCAGGCGAGAGGAAGTAATGCAGTGTTTTTAGTTGTCACGAAATGAGCAACCAAGGATGTGTACGTCTCACGCAAGGGGGCAGGGAGAGATGCAGACAGACAGACAGACAGACAGACAGACAGACAGACAGACAGACACAGACGGAGATACAGGCAGACACACAAACAGAGGCAGACAGACAGGCAGACGGGCAGGCATGCAGGCAGAGACACAACCAACACACAAGTGGGATTTGAGTGCGCGCTTGTTAACCAAGCGTTTGATACCCAAGCGCAAAACCAAGCTACTATCTACGAACCCCGGCCAGCTCCAAGATCATTCCGCTCTTACTCGCACCAGACCAACAGTCACTCGCTACGCGTTGTTCCACCGCTTACGCCATCCCCACCGCCCCGTTGTTTGCTCGCCCCCCCCCCCCTCTCTCTCCCGGTGCTACCGCGACCAGGTAAAACGGGTCACCTTCCCCCCGGTAGGGGCCGGGGGCGCTACGGGACCGTTGACAGTAACCGTCGAAACGGCAAGCGGCGAGACTAGTGACACCACCTGCCGGCTGCTGGTGGCGGCAGACGGCGGCGACTCCAAGGCAAGAAACAGGCGTGGTTGTCGGCCACGCGTATATTTGTGAGACAAGGAGGTTGGCGAAGGATAATCCAACAAAGGGAGATTCGCATGTTTGTTTTTTTTGCGTTTTCAGCCGTGGGCTAGTATTTCTTTTATTTTTGTTATTCCCACAACCACCCTTTTTTATTTTCACGTGGCATGTCATGATACTTCACATGTGTCGGTTTTCTTCCTGTCGACGCATCGGTAGTCGCAACTCGATTCCCTCTCTAGGCAAGCGCCACACCAGCCCTCAATCGCGAGGCAAGCGCCGTACCACCTCGTGCAACCCAACGACCAAGCTTGAGAGTTTGAAGGCATAAACTTGTCGCCAACGACCCCGGCGTCGGCATCGACGTCAGAATGAAACGAGCCGTGAGAAGCAGAAAATAACGTCGTTCTGATTATGTGTGGTGTGCGCATATCCCCCCGAAAACCAGGTGGCCAAGATGATGGGTCTCTCTTCTTTCGGCTGGGGCTACGGCCAGCGGGCGGTGGTCGCAACGGTGAGCATTGGTGTGTGTTTTGGCTTGGTCGCTACGGCGGTAGGCCTGCCGCCAAGCATGAAAAACGGACAACCCTTGGCGAGGACGAGGACCACCTTCTTGTTGTGTGCGCACAGCCAGCAGCTTCACCTGTTGGTTTTCATCAGTCGGCACGGCCATCCATCACCGATATGACTGTTGATTGCACACATGGTATGCTGTGGGAGAGTTTTTATTGGTGCCGGGGAGAGGTTGGGGTGCAAGGTCGTGGTGGCCTGCTCGGGTTTGGAGGACGATGGTCTACTCGATGAAAGCAGGCGTACCTAGTTCAACGGCCGCGAGAGCGCAATCGTGTGCAAACAATTCAAGACTGGTCCAGCGTTGTGGTACTTTGCGTTGTGCATCGGCGTTACTGTCTTGTTTCTTCGGTAACTTCGGACCAGCAAATCTGTCGAACGTTCGTCTACAGTCCTGCTCTTGGATGGCCTTCTTCAGGTGCTTTGTCGGATAACTGTTGGAGTTCAACCCCCCCCCCCGGGGTGACGCTTCCTTCTGTTGCTCTTCGCCCGAAACTGCCCGTCAGGTGAAACTGGCGGAGTCCCACGGTGAGGTTGCGTTTCAGCGCTACCTGTCGAGGGGGCCGTTGGCGATGCTTCCCCTCCCGGGGGGAAAGCTGGCGTCGCTAGTGTGGTCGACTACACCCGAACACGCAGAGAGCCTAAAGGTAGGCGTTGGGAGGCGTCCTTGACTTGCTCGTCTCGTTTCATCTTGTCTGACGTGCTGCTTTTGTTGTTGTCGATGATTTTGCTGCTGCTGCTGCTGCTACTGCTGCTGTTCAAACCGTCCTTCTTCCTCCGGTGTTCGTCTAGCGTCCTGTAATTTGGGTTTACTCTCGTTGGTAGCGTGAGCGATGACCCCCCCGATACCCGTCGTGGGGGATGCTGCTGCTAGAGCGAGAGAAGCGCGACAAGGTTGCGAATGAAAAAGCAAAACCTCACGACATCGGAAGCCCCTGTTGCTCCAGCAGCAGTTCTGCCTTTTGGTGTCCACATGATTCTGTGATTGTGATCATACCACCTTCGCGTGCGAGTTTTTACTGAACGTTCTTGACGTCACACATTGGCTGTCTTCAAGCCAACCAACCCGAGCAGGGCGTATGACCCCCGCCGGATACAGGGTAGACCCCCTCGTCTGTGCACTGCCCAGCCTGCCTAGCGCGATAGTAACCCCCCCCCGTCCCTACCCGATCCTTTCTACGACGGCCTTCCAGTCGATGTCTACCACGGAGTTCGTGAAGGAGGTGAACGACGCGTTGAGGCTTCCCCCGACCATCGGCACCTCGCCCTCGTCGTCGGCAGAGCCCGCGTCGTTCTCCGGAACGGTTCCTCCTTTCGCTGGCGAGCACGGGCTTTTCGGAGGCGTTTCGTCGCTTGCCGCGCTCCCGTTCGCGACAGCGAGTGCCCTGGGGGAAGGGGTCGCGAAGGGCGCGGAAGGCATCGCCGGGGCTCTGGCCGGACTGTCGCTCGGCCTGCAGGAGGGGGCAGGGGATGGAGGAAGAGGGGGGTTTTGTACCCCGCCTGAAGCCACTGAGGTGAGAGGTCTTCGTCGTCGTAGTCTAGTCGTCACAGTCGCTGGCATTGCTGTGTAGTTGATTCTTGTCAAGAATTGGTGTTTTTGTTTTGTATTTGCTCGTTGTGGGGTTGCAGTCTAGCTGCCGTGTTGCAATACTGTCGTCTCGGGCTCTCTTATCCTCTCCTACGTGCTTTTCTTGTGGTGCGCCGTTCTCTTCTCTGGTGCCGTTGTTTGATGCTGTGCTCTTTTTTCGAGCCATCAGTTTCCTTAATCAAGCCGTGCCCCTCTCTTTTCTCATCGGGATCCATTTCCGTGGGCCATGCCCTTTTTTCTCTCTCTCGCGCTGTTTTTTTTTTGTCTTTTTCCAGGTAGTGACGCCTCGACTTGGGTTTGACCTCTCCTTGAGGCAGGCGCACAAGTACACCGGTGACCGGATGGCTCTGGTTGGGGATGCGGCTCACACGGTGAGAGCCCTCGCCTTGTCTAGAGGTGTTGCTTTCTAGTTGCTGCTGGTTATGCTGTTGACGCTCCTGTTGCTGTCAACGGCGTAGTCAATGTTGTTGTTGTTGTTGTTGTTGTCGCCTTGGTTGTTTTCCTGGTTTGCGTTGCGGTATTGCCATTTGTTCCTTCGTGCAAATGGCCTGGTGTTTCTGCGAAATGTTTTTTTACACGATTCTTTGCCGGGCGTTTTAACGATCGCAATTTTCACTGTATGGAGGCACACACACACGCCTCAATCCTAGATTTCACCGGCCTTGCACGCAAGCCGCTGGCCCCAGTTGCCATGACCTGAGCCCTCCACCCCCGGTCCCGCTAAGAAAATGCCGCCATTCTGGCCAACGGTGTTTTGCTCAAGCGTGCCCTAAGTCTTGACATCGCACGGAATGTGATGCTGCATCAAAGAACGGGCAGGCATCCCTCGCCCCTTTTATCATACGTACCACCCTCCCCTCGACCTTCTGGTCCACCCTTGTGAAGCGTAGCCTGGGCCGGCGACAACCCAACATGCCGCTCCGTCCCGGTTTTATAGGGTTGCGAGTCTACCAACTACTTCCATGTGTTTTCACTAGTGCCCCTCCCCTTCACCGATGTGTGGACACCACAGGTGCACCCCATGGCTGGACAGGGGCTAAACCTGGGCATTGCGGACGCCGACGCTCTCGCCCGCGCCGTGCTGGAAGGGCGCTTGTCAGGGACAGACGTAGGGTCCAAGACGTTGCTCGGGCGTTACGAGGAGGAACGGAAGGTGCGGAAGGAGCCTCGGGTTAATCCACCGCTCTTGTCTTCGTCGCCGCAACCGTTCTTGTAACACAGTTGGAGATTTGCTGCGAATATGGGAGGAAGGGTTTGGTACGAAGCAACTTGGCCTGATTTTTTTTTTTTGCAGCGAGAACGTTTTTTTTTGCCTACATGTTGGGCGTATTTCTGTGGGTCGTGCGCCTCGGATGAGGTGCGGTGTCAAGGGTGGACTGCTAGCAAAGCCGCGAGTTCGTAGCTGCACCGCTAGACGCTTCGGGTGATTTGGCGATTGAGAGCTACGTTTGCGAACAAAATTCCTCCCCAATGATGAAACAAGAACAAAGCGCCCTCCCCCTCCTGCTTCTCCAGTGCTCCTTGTCCAGCAGTGCTTCCACCGCGCCGCCGAAAATCGACAGCTAACCAGCCCCTTCGCCCCCCCCTCTGCCCCCCCCCTTATTTTCTCAAGACGGAGGCGTTGGTGATGATGGGCGCGTTAGACGTGCTGCACCGCCTGTTCGGCTCGGACGCCCGCGCCGTCGCCGCCGCGAGAAGCGCCGGGCTGAGCGCTCTGAACGCCGCGGGGCCGCTCAAGCGCCGCTTGGCACGCCACGCCATGGGAGGGATGTAGGTAGATCCGCGCGGACGTCAGGGGTGGGGGCGCTCGGCCTTGAGGCCAATGAAATGGTTGAAGAGCGTTTCTGAGGGGGGAACGTGTGAACACTGTACGGCATGAATTGGTGGTACTTCATGGGGGAAGCACGCCCAGGAGCACCTGTTGCGGAACATGTTTTTGGAAGATGCGTTGATGGTGAGCAAGACTGGAAGATGCACTCATGATTCGGCGAGTCATCGCTCTTGCTTTGCATCGTTCGAAGGAATCCAAAAGGACCATGAGAAATTTAGTTGTCGACGTGGCAGAGGGAAGGGAGGAAACAAGCGGGACGACCTCCCGCTATTAGTCGTGGGAGCTTTGGAGAGAACAGCCAGCCGAACAAATAATTCGATCTCTCGAGCGAACAAACATCCCACGCGATGGAACTTCCGACAGGTTGGCCAGGCAACGGCTGACGCCGCGAGGAACACAACTACCCGGAGGCGGTGTATAGTATGTGACACAACGGCCGTACTGCCTCGAGCAACGGGTGTCTCTTCCCATTTCATGTCAGCGCTGTCGACATCGTCGAGAACACGATTTGTCACCAACGTCCAACACAACACAACGTCTCCATCCATACCCAGGACAAAATGGCCGCAACTGCAATTTTGCTGGGACCGCCGCTGCTTTTGCCGCCACGGAACTTTGCGCTGGTGCACCAAACCCACTTGGTACCGTTTTCTGATGGCCTACGCGAAGGTATACTGTAATCTGACCTCTCGAGTCGGTTTCTGCCATTCCCGCCACCATTTTCGATCGCAATAAACATTGCCCGCTCTGGCCGTTGGATGTCGCGGCACACCCATAGACTACAGCAATAAATGCGATTTTTCAAAAGAAACCGCTCAATATTCCATCGCTCTCTACCACTACTGTAACGTCTACTTCGAGCAAAGAGAATAGCACTACCGTACAATGGACGTGTGGAACAGCATGGGTGATTTTCCTCAGGACTACTGTAATTACACGTTGGTGATGAGTCGTCCCCGACCTCCACGTGATTCGTTGCCTCTTTCGATGTGCACACACACCGCTTGTAGTTTAGCAGGCATTTCCTCCTCTGTACTTTTCAAGGCTGCCGGGTTGCCACTGAGCATGCAGGGTTTCGGTGAGGTGTACCTCTGTTGAGTTTAATAGCCAAGCGGTAGTAAAAGATCCGACAAGATATTTGACTATCCCATTGTCCCGATCTCTCGTTATCTCATTTTCTCGGCACGTAGCCCCCGCGGCGGCGGATCAAGTCGGATCCACGATCCACTTTGCCGTCTTGTGTTGTTGTTCTGCTGTGCAACTGTGGCTGTGCTGCTGCGATCTAGCAGATCTGCTGCTCCTGCGCGTCCTCCCGCCAGAACGACTCGTCGAGGAACCATGAACCAGCAACGAACCTTGATTCAGATCTATACCACGCAATGCAGTACGTTGTACACCAAATCATGTTTTCTCACACACACTGACGAAGCACTTACGAGAAAGCGTTCCTGCTGTTCGCCACTGCTCCGCCCCCAATTCCAACCGCATCGCCAGTAGCAACGACGTCATCATCCTCAAGGGGTACCGCGAAAACAGTGTTGTTGTCGATGTATTTCGTCGTCAACCATTCCTCCCATCCCGACACCGCCGGCTCGCCGACGGCCGGCTAAACACACGAGGTTTCCGCGATGCATTGTAGGAATACCGTAAGGTTGCGAGTCAGCGCACAGGGGTGCGATCGATTTTCAAAGCGTAATTTCTCCACAACCAGGAGGGTGAGCACCTACTCTTCTCAGGAAAGGTCTCGATGGGATATTTCCAAAACCGCCCTATTCGACAGTGGTAACCTCCTGGTTGTGGAGAAATTACGCTTTGAAGATCGTTCGCACCCCTGTGCGCTGACTCGCAACCTTACGGTTGGCCCTGACGGCGCCCATGAACCCTCTCTTTCGGGATAGCAGCAGCCCTTCCGCTGCCGTGCCAGCACTACTGCTGCTGTCGGGAGCAGTTGTCCGACTATCTCGAGCGAGGAATCTACGGCCGAATGATTTCGTGTAAGAAGCAGCAGCAACGTGCGGCGTGGCTGTCGGTGACAACGGCAAGGCTCATCATCATCATCGCCAGGTCAAAACCAGCAGCACTGCTGCACCAGAGGAACGAACCAATGCTCATCCTGACTAGGGCGGCAATGGAGGCGCCACGCGAGCAGCAGCAGCTTCTTATGACTGCGTCTCATCACACACGCGCGTGTATAGATCTGCATAGCAGTGGGCAGACTACAGATCAAGCACGACGAAGCGTGTCGACGCGTTGGCGACGCCACGAGCGGAAGCTCTCCAAAGCATGCGGGTAGGGGATGGGGGCTGCTTACCTACCAGAAGGCGTTCCTTTGTAAATAAGAAAACATGTGAAACGGCTCGCAGAGCATATTTCGTCCGCACTTCTCTAGCACGACCTGCTGCTCTCTTGGTGTCATCGAGAGCCAAGGCTATGTAGATCGACTCCGAGAACCCAGCGCCTACATCACCGAACGCAGATAGACATCAAGCGCCGAAAACAAGATCCCAGCGCGTTTTTTTCGCCTTGCGAATGACCAATGACTCGTGTTGGTGGTTTCTTCGCCCTTTTCGTCGTCCTGAAGTACATGGGAGTGAGCAACCTTGCTCAAGCGCAAGACGTGTCTGCGCTTCGGGAGGCGGTGGCTACTGCTGCTGAGAACGCCGCCGCGTCAGCACAGCAATGCGCCGCACTGGTAGGTGCATTTTTGTCTAAGAGGGAAGGGCGTATGTATGGCACTATCGTGTATTCCGGTAGACTGCTGTAGATGGAGAGGGAGGAGAGGGAGGCAGAGAGAGGGAGCCAAAGACGAAGAAAGAGAAAAGATACAGAGGGCGATGTTGCCGGACGGAATTACATATTACATGACAGTTACAGTTATGTCGCAATTTTCCGGGCGCCACCACACAACTCACTCCACTATCCAAGTCGTGCATATTGGTATGTCGTTGGCGCTGCCAACAGCCTGCCCTCACCACCGGTTCGGTTGGGGAAGAGGCGACAGACCAGCAGCACAAGCAGGTGTTGTTGTAGAATCCTGGCAGCAGCAGCTAAAAACAAGTTAACATCAGTCGGGGTACGCTCTGTGCCAGCATGTTCGACGGCATTTATCTTACCCACGAGGCGACTGATTAGCTGCGTAAACTGTGGTTCAGTAAACCTACATACAGTTCGTGGACTATCGCAATATGCGAATCATAGCACCTAACAACGAGCATACGCTAACACCAAAAATGCCGAACGATAGCAATCGCCAACGTTCTCGCCGTACTCTCTGTACCCCCACAGCCCCCCTTGGCCAACAAGCGGCGATGTCCCTCTGCCAGAGGCGATCACCATGAGGAATAGTCCAATGAAGTCGACCGTTTCTCGATGATTAGACTAGGTTTGACGTCGCAATTTTCAGGAGAATGGGAAGACGTACATCAGTCTGAGTTAGACGTCGTGTCCTGGCGGGTGAGCAGGGGACCGAATCCATCCCTCGGAACGGGTTTCTAGCTACGCGGGGTCATCCCCTCCCCCGCCAGGATTCGGCGTCCTTTTGCGACCGGTGCATGCCTTCCCCTTTCTCCTGAGAAAGACACATCAAATGTAAGAATCGAGATGAGGTAAGCTCATTGGACTATGTCCGTATCAGTGGCAGCATACACGGCGGATGGACATGCCCCCTGATCAGAGTTCAGTTATCGATTATGGTCAGGGGGGCGGTCGGTAGCCAGGAGCCGATCCGCTTCTGTAGGGACGGGAGAGGGTGATGATTTTGCGCGAACCGACAATTGCACCAGTTGGGGGCTACAACAAGGTCACTATGAGAAACCACGACGTGCGTTGTACACGCCGGTGCAGCGAAGCAAGTGAAAGAATGCGGTCACCTTTGAGTGGACGTTCTAGAAGAATGTGATCACCTCCGAGAGGAAATTATTTCACCGGTAGAATTTCCACTCGAAGGTGATCACACCTTGTTTTCCCTTCGCCGGCTTTAACACCTAACTTCAGTTTCTCTCCAAATGGCTCGCGCGCATGCGTGTCTTTCTACCACACGTGTTTGCATGCGTAGACTTGACGTACGAAGTGCGCCCTATTCAAACGTTGTATCAAGCCCCCAACAGCCCGAGGTGCATTTGTAGCCTTTTCAAGCACGATCGAGCCTGCCTTCTAAGCCGGGTGATACGGGAACAGAGTTCGCAAGTGATTGATTGATATCGACTTGTTTTTTGTGTTCCAACGTCATTGTCTTGAAAATCTCCTGCACGAACAACAGGTCCGGGATGTCGACAGCCCAGTAGGTATTTCGGTGGAACAGGTGCCCGATACCGCTGCAGATACTGCTGTCAACGACGACGCTGATGAAGGACTTCACGAGGGCAGAATGGCAACGGATGATAACCACCACAGCGGGAAATACGACGCCCCCTGCAGTGTAGACGTCGCGGGGTGAGATGCTGCGTTTGAGTTCAAGTGCCGTTGTTTTACACGCTAGGCATTTCCGCCGGTGCATCAGAAAACGAATGCAGACCTCCATACGCAGCAACGATGCAGTGTTTTGTCTCGCAATTGCGACAAGTAATTTCCGCTCCCGGTGACTAGGAAGAAGACTCATGCCACCTCCATGCAGCCCCTGCCCCCCTTCGGGCTGCGCGCGAATTGCAAAGAGGGTACCGAATGCTGATCCACGGGGAAGTGTGGCCGCCGATATCCTGTGCTGCGCTTTCGACCGAATCTACATTCCAATCCAGCAGGGGAATGCCACAGTTAGCCAACCCACCGAACATCGACAACCTTGGCAGTTAGTGACTACAGAGGTGATCGGATTCTCAGTACAAAGTATCGATGGCCGTAGGCGTGTGGTTCTACTTTCCGTGCCCTCTCTGCAGGTTGCCCCCAGCCCCAACCCCTGCTGGTATGTGCATGGAGAAGGATAGAAAGGGACCGACCGCATATGCTTAGCAGCTAAAATATAAGGTCAAACTAAACCACCAAGAAAAGGGACAAGAAAAAACATGTGTTTCTGTTTGCGGAAAAAGGTATGGAGAGTCCGAGTGATGGTAGTTTCTCAACTGGGGATCGACACGCATGCGATGGCAATGGCCGAGCAGTTAGAGCAAGAATTAAACGAGTCCACGCCTCCTGCCCTTCCGGGTTTAGTGGGCGTTTGCGCCCCAACACCGACCAGTTCATTCAGTCGAAACGGGGGTGAGCTTTCAGTCCGTGTGGGTAATAATACACTCAGCCAGCCGTCGGTTGAAGTTGAGCACCGGAGCCCTGGTGTCCTGTTGTTTTGTCCGGTCTGGTCAACATGGCGCTCAGGCATAAATTGCTTTTGAAAGCGTCGGTGCTCGCGAAGAAGACGTCCGCCACAACCAACAATGTTTTATACCCAAAATGCCGCCAATGGTTGGTTGCACTTTTGAACCAGGCTCGGTGGATCGACTACCTTGTGCTTCGAGGATGATGGGCAGGACGTCAGTGACTTGCTCGTCGTGAAGTCTCCTGGCAGCGATCAACGTGACGTGTTGGCGTCCGCTTCCGCACAGATCGCCCCGATCGTCGATGGCAACGGCGACAGGTGACACGGAACCTGAACTCTGGGAGTGGTCCTGATGTTAGATACAAAGTCTCGGAAATATCTGTGGCGGCAAGTTGAGTCTCAGCCTGCAGCAAACAAGCGCGTCTGACGCTTTGCTCCTGGTTGATGCTGTGTGAATGAGATCTGAATCGGATTCTGGTCCAACCTAAGCCGAGGTCCCGTCGATAGTAAACCAACCACCCTCCCACCCCCCCTCTCTCGGTGGAAGCAGCCCGAACCTACCGGTCGTGCTACCACCACACGCGGCCGCTGAGAAGGGTCCTGAACAAGATGACGGGCCAGAAGGCACAGAAGTGGAGTCACAGCGCCTCCCAAACCAGGACGAAGCATTTACCAAGGGAGATCATCCCGAAGAAGAGGCCATGACGAACGGACTTTCTCGCCCTTCCTCCTCAAGCCAGATCGGAGCGCGCCATGTTGCAACCCATGATGAGCCTCGGGTTCGTGGCGATTCAGCGCCTGGAGCACCCGCTTCTGCTGCCTCGGACATGTTGTCCAGGGTGGAATACAAGCACCTTGGCATTGCTGTGGTCGGGTTGTTGCTGTTGGTTCTTACCGTCAAGAGCAGGGTCGGGATGAAGGTGGCTGCTGTGGCCATGCTGGCGATGTCGCTGGCTCGTGGTCGGGTGCCGCACGGGCGCGCGGCGGACCCAAGGTACCGGCACCCCTCCCGTGTGGGGCGAGTGGTGCTTGTGGTGAAGATCGCCATGGTGGATGGCCCGAGGGCGTTGGTGTCGTGGGTGTCAGAGCGTGATTGGGTGAGGTCAACATCCGCCTGGACGGGGGGCATCCGCACGTACGTCGCATTGGCGGCGTTCGGAATGTTGCGGTCAGACGTCACAAGCAGGATCAAGAACTGGGTGGCTTCGTTGCTTACGCGGGGGTTCTCGGTTGTTCGGAACCAAGTGTCGCGAGCACGGGCGGTGGACTCACTGACCTGGCTCTCTATCGTCGAGGAGACGTGGATGTCTCTTTCGGTGGTGATCCTGGCGGCCACGTCGAAGATCACGCCGATAGATGAGTCCAGCCCATACATGAAAGTGATGTCAAAATCTGATATGGCTAAGTGGAATGCTTGGTGGTACGACTACCGCTGGGTGGTTGTGGGCATGTTGATGCCGCTCTTTCTCGGCGTCATGAGGATGGTCACGAAAGACATTGTTTCTATGACTTTGCTGGCGATGTGCCGAGTTCGGGGTCGATTGCCGCAAGGACGCGCGGCGACGCCATACCACTGGCACACCATGCGCCCGGCGGTGGTGGCAGTTGTGGCGAAGATCGTTGTAGTCGATTGCCTGGGGGGGCTGGTGTGGTGGGTGTCAGAGCAAGTTGCGGCGAATTTTGTGTCTGGCTGGAGGGAGGTCTTCTGCTGGTCGGTCGTGCTGGGTTCCGGGGCCTACATGCGCTCGTATACTCTTGACGTCATAAGTAGCATCACGAACGGAATGGTTGCCGTGGGTACGTGGGTATACTCCACCATTTTCCACAAGGGGTCGCCAGGGCGCGGGGCGGAGCCACCGTGTTGGCACCCCTTCCGCGCGGTGACGGCCATGTTCACTGCAGGGTTGGTTGCGATGGTCGTTGACCGTATCGCTGAGACAGATGGATGGAGCGCATCAGTGGTGTGGGCTTCACGCGGGGTCACCGTGTTTCGGAGTCGTCTGCCACTCACCTTTCAGCTGGTATCAGTCTCGTGGAAGACCTTGGGGGTTGCTGCGGCTGCAGCGGGATTGATGGCCTGGGTGATGGTGGTGTACGTGGCGGCAGCTGGGCTTTTCTTCGTATGCACCAACCGCATGACATTTCCGATTCGAATTCTTGTCCGGATCTTCGAGCTCTACGACAAGTGGGGAGAACCCAACACCGTTCAGGTGCGCAAGTGGCGACGTGTCGTTGGACCACGTCCGATCACCAATAGGCCCTAACAGCAAAATCACCGGTGTTTGTTGCGTCTACACGTTCGAGACGAGAAACAAACATTAACAGATCGGCTACAGTTCGCTGTAGAGACGTGTACGTTCCAGACAAGGATGAGTCGCACGACAGCATTCTGTCACTCACTCCCACAATCAACAGTCGGTGGTATTTCGTGTCTGTGTCAACCTTTCTAGCGAATATTGGGATCGCTCTCGTGAAACGTGAAGCGGCGATCGAGCCCCAATGCCTTCGTTCGCCCCCCCCATCGAGCATAGGCAATCACCTGGACCCATGTGGTATATTATTTACCGCTGATGTACTCTTAACAAATATTTCGGTTTTTAAACCATGAGCAAATTGTGCAAAAGAGTTGTCTTGCGCTCCAAGGGTCTTGTACGAACCCACGTGTGGTTCGTAAAGACTCGAGTTCTGGGAAGCGCTGACTCCGAGGATAAAAAGGGACGTGTGTTCTACGATGGTGATCCCCAGTCACTCTCGTTCCAACCATCGTCGGGGCTACACTAAACACCGAATTTCCTCACTCCCCTCGTGCCACCTGTTTGTTTGGCAGCTCCGCGACGACTTGGTCGGCAGGATATACCTCATGCTCGTCCTCCCCCGACGTCTACGTTCCTTTGGGTTAGCCTCCTCGTTTGGGTGGTCGCCATTGCGGTCGATAATGTTGTCGTTGTTCTCGTCGTCGTTGCTGGTGTTGGTGTTGGTGTTGGTGTCGTTGTCAGTGTCGATGTTGGTATCGATGTCGCTGTCATCGTTGTTTGTTGATGTTCGTTCTGTCGGTCCTGGTGCAATTGCTGTGGATGTTTGTTGGATTGTCGTCGCCGCTTTGGTTGCTGTTGATTGGTGTCGTGCATGACCCCAATACTACGTCTTCTTCACGTGCCTCAGACGCTTGAATAGCCAAAATCCAAACGCCTCAATGACATGTAGTGCTTGCACAAATAATGCTAGAACAAAGAGATGAGACATGCAGCGGTCAGATCGTGCCGGGAACCGGTCGAACTTGGGCGGAAGCCAGTTAATACAATAGCATTACAAGCGATGATCCGACGCCCAACTGTTCTCCTCGGTTCCCTTGCCTCCGTCAACCGCCTCTAAAAAGCTTGAACCAGCTTTGCGGGAACATGAAGCTGGCTCTTCATGTGGGGCTGCACCGCAACGTGCTGTGGCAGGCGTACGGCACCAACGCGAGCCTGAAGGCGGCAGTTTTCTCGGTACTCTCTCGACTTGAACCTGGCGACGACTACACGCAGGTGCGTTGACCAATCGACGAAATGCGTTTCCTCACGGGCCGAACACGGTAGCACGTTCAAGGAGAAGAACGTTGTACCCAAGTGCGAACGCGCACGGCAGTTTCACAGAGGAGACACCTCTGCCACCGCCGCTGTCCTGGCTGGCTACGTCCTTTCGCTCAAGTGCCCCCCCAACAACCGCGCGCACCCATCCGGAGCCCTTTCCTTCCTTGTGTGCCAGGTTTTGCTCGTCGCGCGGAGTTTACAAGACGTGTTTGATCTCTCTGCACGTTTCCAGACGTTCGCTGACGTTACCGGCACAACTATCACGGTGGGTGTCTCAAATTGTTGGCACTATCACACACGATGGACTTGTAGCTCGTTGCTAACCTGCTTGAGTACAGAACGTACGTCAAGGAACGGCGCACTTCCTCATGATTCCAAGCGCTTTGGCATTGTCACGTTGGTTGATTATTTTGTTTGTGGGCATGGGTCGCACTCCGTTGCCGGAATATGCGCTGCTGTTCTTGCCCTCCGACAACAATCGCGTGCGGTGGACGCGGTGACGACAGGTTTTGAAGGCGCTCGGAAGCCACTGGGAAGAAGAGGTGCAAGCGCAGGTGGTCATCGGCACCGCCTCGACGCTCTCCATCCTTCTGGATAGAGCCATTGTCAACCCGGCCAATGTACAGGCATTCGTGGTTCACCTCGGCTACGACGAATCAACGGTAGGAGTGCTACAGTAGTGTCAGGGCCTATATAGACGAATGTTCATGAGTTCTGTTTCGAATTTTGTTTGCGTGCTTTTGGTGCCCGCGGGGGCAGGGGGAGACCCGTAGTCCGTAGGGCAACGCAGGTCGTGTTTGGTGCTCTCGTGATGCCCAGAAATGCCATCTGTGGACGTACCTGGCCGACGGATGATATTCTTAGCCAGAAGGACCCTCCACGGGGGAACCAAGAGGAAGGGTTGCGTTCTTCGAATTCACGAAATCATCCCGGTGGGAGAAGGTTGCGGGCGAGTTGTTCCGAGCAGCGAGGCACTTCGTGCACCCCCAGAACAAACAAAAGATACACCACGCCCAGCTGCAGGTAGACCATAATCTATTTCGCCCCGAAGGTTACGAGCCTAGCAATGTCAAAGAGCAGCAGGAACAACCCGCAACGGCACTAATTTTGATGAGGCACTGTAGATGGTCTCCCTCTTTCCTGTATGTGTCTCTGTTGTGCTTCGCTTGGCACAGACGTTCTTCGAGAGAGCACTCTGCAACAGCCAGCCCCGCCCATCTCAACGTAAGAGCACAGTTGAAAAACTTGATGGTGCCTCACAGACCTGCGGACGAAACCGTCGGGTGAGGAGTTTACGTGGTATGGTGGTTGAAATTTCTCGCGAAACATGCGTGCGTGGTGCCGTACCCAACCCAACCCCTCCATCAAAGACCTCGCAGAAGGATCCCCTGGAGAGCATCGAAGCCCCCTGCCTGTCCATCAAGCGCATGCTGCCTGGCACATGCCAGTCAATGGTCTTTGCTGGCGGCTATTGCAGGTTTGAAGAAGATGGAACGCTGCCGTGACAGCTTGTCGCCCCCGCAACGTCGAGGGCGTGCGTACCGGTTGCGATGCTGAGTGTCCTCCGCGTCCCACATTCTTATGACGACGTAATCTGATCCATTTGACACACGGAACCACCTTTCGGGTGGGAGTTGGAGGCTGGAGGCCAAACCAAGTGCAACAGACACACCTGTCGATGTTTGATTTTTCAGTCCAGGTCCCATTCATATTTCTGGCACTTTTCTCGCGTGTCCAGCGTCGTACCTCCTTCGAGTGCAGGACACTGCATCCCCCCGGTTGGGATATCCCATTGGCCTTGTTGATGAGCAACGATGGACAGCCTGCGAACCTTCGTCTAGCCGGGTTGATTCCCTGCTTTCGCCCCCTCCGTTCCGTTGCCAGTTCCCCCCGCGAATCTGACACCGTCCACACTCGTCCTTGGCATTCCGGCAGGGGAGTCAACGACTTTGCGACCGGACTCGCGCCCTCACCTAGTGTGTTCCGGAGCCTCAACCTCAACGCCAGGCCGGTAGGTCCCGTCACCCTTTTACGCCGATGCAACGGATAGGGTCCGTACACACACAATTGTCGGTTCAATGTTCCATTCTCCTGCAACAGCCCCGCATTCCAATATGTAGGTCTAGATTCAAACAACGATATCAACAGCGAACGCCTTACCAGAATTGGTACGTAGTTGTGCCTCATCGTTTGACGTGCGTTACGCATGAAACCCATGAAGGCACACATTTGTTCGGACACACAGCGGTTGTTCAGAGTACGCGCTACGCCTAGGCGTTCCAAACCACCTGGGTTACACTGTTGCCTTGCCTTGGCACCACATTGTTGGAGATCAAGAGTCGGGACAAGGTACCACAGCTTATACATAATAAAGGTGCTGTGCCTTAAGGAGCATTACCCCCTGTCCACCAATATAGATTTCTCGCTTTTCACCCGAGCGTCAACCACGGTGATGGTGGCCGCGGTTACTATCTGACTGTTCTTGACGGCAACAATTATTGGTTTACGTTTTATGAAAGCGCGAGAGAGAGTCCTTGCCCGGTATCCGTGTGAGAGAGAGACTGAGCGTGTGTTGGTGTTTCCTGGGGACCATTGTTTACCGTAAATATTTGTCCCTGCGTGTGTGTGTGCCAGTTTGTTTTTCAAAGTCCGTCCGTCCGCCGTGGAGATGCGATCATGATATTACGAGAGGGGCGGGGTTGGTCGGTGCAGCGAGACGTACATGCGTTGGACCGGGGCGCTAATGAATGTAGCCATTGTGCAGTCAGCACTGCCCGCGAATGACTGATGATACTGTAATCAAATAATCCATCCGTCACTTACACGAATTTGTAGCTGAATCGCCCCGAAACAATGACATCATGACCGTGACTGACGCAACCGGTCAACCATGGAATTTTCGACCGAAAGGAAGTGTCCTCTAAAACAAATTGACCAATGAGAAACCTGCGGGCACCTTTTCTCTCTGCAGGACATAATTAGGTCATACATTGATTCTTTGGAGGATGACGACTTCAGGAACGAAGCCACCACTTACCTTGGAAACGATGCTTTGCTTCAAACGAGGGCGGCCAACAGGCTGCAGATTTGTCTGAAACTTCTATCGGCTACGCCCGGGGTAAGGACGGACTTTGTGAAACTCGACCTGCACTGCCAAGCATGCTTTCCCGAAGGTCTTGCAGGAGAGCACTTCATTTGCCAATTGGTTTACACGTAATGGCAAAGCTTTGGGTTTCGGAACGTTTTCGTAGCACCTGCCATTCGGTACGTCAGGGCTGTACAGCCAGATCCAGCATGTCGGCTGCGCTTCGCTGCTGCCGATGCCTCTCGACGCCGTCCTCCCAACTCCCGCTGCAGCGTTTGCATGCCCACGTTCGCGACGAAAACTCCACCTTCCGTTGTGTGCTCTTCGACGTCTTGCCGCCGTGTATCAGCTTCAAGAGAAACCCTGCTCGTTAGGGAGGGCCCTCTTCTCGGCGTGGGCCTTTACGGCTGTGTGGTACGCAGGGCAATGGGTGATGCCGCTGGCCCTCCCGTCTTTGACGTCCTCCGCCCCTGCTTTCGTCCGGGTGCTCAGCTCATTCGTTTGCGGTCTACCGGCGGCGACGGCGGAGCTGTTGGATTGGCTCTTCTACCTACTGATTGTCGTGGTGACGGCGACGGCGGAGCTCTTTGGTTGGCTTGTCGTCGTGCTGGTTGTCATGGTGGCGGTGACACTGAAGCTGTTGGATTGGCTTCTCTACGTGCTGTTTGTCGTGGTCTTTATTGAACTGATCACTGGGCTGTGCGCCCGTGTCTGCGATCTCGTGTGGCTGCTGAAGGTTTTCGCCAGCTGCTTCTGGGCGGAGCTGACCGTTATCTCCTTCACCAGCAGACTCCTGTGGTTCTATTTTCGGCGGAAATGAATACGTTTGTGCACGAGGGGGTATATTGTTTGACAGGAACACGGGATACGATAGAGGGCCACGTCCGTGTTGTTCGACCAACTTTTTTCACAACGGTGTACGAGTGTGAATCTATCTTGCGAACCCCCCCGACAAAATGAGCTCTCGTCGGCAAGGAAGGGTGCTTCGTGTGGATGTACTGCTGAGGACAGAAGAAAATTCCTATTCTTACACGTACGTGTGGCATGCAGACGTGTATTTGGTTCGCTTTCGACGCCGGGAAGCCCCTCTTTTACCTCCGCGTGGTTGGCCTAGTCTCATCATTTTTCTTTGTTTAGCCGACTTGCGTCATTTTCAGGGTTCATGAACGACATATCTCTCCAGGCTTCATGTTGGGATGGAACTCTCTTCACTTTCACTCCAAGCGACGTTTGGTAATTGCGGATTGTCTCCATGGGCCGAATAAAATAGTTGAAGCGCCGTTGATGGGGAGACACGGCAGTACAACATGAAATGGCCGTCCTACCTGAAGGGAGCACGTCCATGAGCACTTGCTCAGCATGATTTCGGAAGATGCGTATACTTTGATGCTGTGTAGAGTTAGGGTGAGACTGATGTTGTGAAGACTGGGGGGAGGAACCCATGTTTGAGCGAGTCATCTCTCCTCTTGCGTTGTGCGAAGTCTACTCGATGGATTATCTGTAATTTTCTGGACAACGAAAGGGCGTGAAAGGACGACATCTCATCGGGTGTAAATTACAATCTAGGCTACCTCCGCTCGTCGCCACAACTTCAGAGAATGTGAGCACCGAACTACTGTAACTTGGTTGCTCGAGCGTGCAAGCATCCCACGCGGCGCGAATTCCGAAAAGCGGACCCAGCAACAGCCCGCGCTGCGCACAGTAAACATCGAAGCCAATATCGCGAAAACAACAACGCTACAACATTTTCAACACGAAGAGGTGGTTGTATTTACATGTCCAAATGGGCCGGTGACATGTAGGAGTGCAACACGCTCTACCCCTTCACATTCGACCTCAGCGCTGTTGCCACCGCCAAGAACACCAGCATGAACATCCAACTCGCGTTTCCATCAAAACTCCGCGCAATGGCCGTTGTTGCTAGGACTACATGTACACCGCTGCTTTTGCCAAGAGGGGACGCTCACGTTCCATTTCGGCGTGTGCTGACAAAGGCACACAGACACCTATTCCTCAATGACATCTACTTCTTGTTTCACCTCCCCCCTCTGCTACCTTACCCTCTCGTACCCCCGCCTGACCTGACCCCTGGGGGTTCCACCACCGTCATCAACGCATCCCCTGTATCCCTGACCACCTTGGACGTTGTTGCCGTCACCAAACCGATCACCCGCCCGCCTAGATTGCCTCGTTTTCCGTCGGAACTGCTCCCTACGGACGGCCTCATGGTTGCAGCGGAGGTGCGGGCGGGCGCGTTGGCGGAGGGGAGGCCGGATCGAAGCTTTGCGGACAGCTCCTCGCTGATTCCGCCGCCCATCGAACTCCATGACGTCAAACTGTTGCGCCGCCTGCTGTAGCCGCTACCACGGCCGCTGTTGTTGCTGGGGTAGGAACCGCGTCTTCCTGCTCGCGGCGCTGTATTTCTTCAGGTTGTGTCTGGCCCGCATCCGAGGCCGCGACACTCTCAAAACCATAATGAATCACATGGACGAAAGGTGAATAGTGTAGTACCAACGACAAAAGGCGATGGGTAAGAACAAGAGAGGAGGACAGAGATGCGAAAACAGGATATTGTACAACCATGAACTGTCAGTCGGTGGTGATGTCAGGGTTGCTGAGATCGCACGCTTTAAGCAGTAGTTGTCTGACAGCAGAAAGTACTTTGTTGTTGATGGTACCATCACACCAAGACCAGCACCTGCTGATGATGACCCTGTCAGCAACCTTTCTGCTGCTACTACTGCCGCTTCCCGTTGATCGTCGCTGCACGCATCTCGGAGCTGTAGACTAGTCTTGCTGGTCGCCCGCTCGCCTACCCCCGGACCTCACGTAAGGTACATGTACAAAACAGCGACAGCCGGGCGGGAAACAAGATCGACAAATAAGGAGAGAGGTGCGGTGTGACGATGCGAATTGCTGGAACGAGTACATGTAGTTGGCTAGGGCGGGGAGGCGATGGTCAACTGGTCAACCGATCCACACGGGACTGCCGTAGTTCGTTGGTTCATCCAATTTGAGCTCGTATTTTGAAGCACTGCTCGGAGCCAATGACTAGTGGTTGGTCCTGCTGGATATTCGCCCCTCGCCCCTCGCTCCTCGCGGCTGCCTTTGTCGGCCCTCGCCCCTTGCCGGCTCACCCGCTTGCCTGTAGGGTTGGGCTCGTAGGGTTGCTAAATAGGTGAAATATTACGGACGGTTCAGTTTTTAAATATGTTTCCGTTCGGGCCGATCCGAACCAGACATTTCCACCGCGTTAGGGCGCTCTCCCTGTTTCCGCCATCCTCGGCCCTTGGAGCTTCATCTCCCTCAGAGAGCAAGACAAGGTAGTGGACCATCGCTGGGGCAGCGACTGAGAATTTGAAGAAGAGAGTTAGGATTTGTTTCCCCGATTATCGTTGGGGGGAAGATAGATATCGAAGGAGGCTTTGTGGACCACGATCTCCTTCACCGGCAACTCGAAGCAAGCAACACGACTGCTGCTTTGGTGCAGGAGACAGGATGCTGCTGAGAGGTACGAGTGGTATTGGTTACTTACGTACCACGGTGTATCGAACAGGGTGTGTGCCCTGATATCAGCAAAGAGCTCAACGTAAGCTCTCGTTGCTTGGCTGCACGAACGCGCTTGTGTGCCGCACGAATGGTCGGCACATTTATTCAGTACAGAACAGCCAATGGTACGGCGGTATGTACATGCGCGGGAACACATGAGCGCGTCTATGCCGCCTGCACCACCTATGCGCTATCGTCTCAGCTCCACGGCACATACACTTTGATACCATCACACTAGAATAGTGGCTAGCCCCACTCCCACCATACTACTGCTGTTGCATTGTAGAGGCTTGTGGAAAGATGAGTTCTGTCTCGCTGGGTTATTGATTTGTGTCACGGGTAACCTCACAAACCTACAGCAGTAGTCTACTGGGAGGTACAGCAATGGTTTTTGGGGTTCAAATCTCTGTCGGGAGTTAATACAATTTGACCTCCTTAAATTGTTTTAAACATTGCCAGGTCGAAAGGGGCTCCGTCGGCTGGCGACAACAACAGCAGCTACAGCAACCACCACCACCACCCGAGCAATATCGCTACTGGACCTGCACATCGCACGGGGGTTCTCCGGGTGAGAGATTCCCCGGTCTCCAAGACCCGGGTTGTCAACAACTGAGGAGGGTCGGTGGTTGCCAGGGCGGGTGTGTTAGGTTGGTAGCTGCAAGTAACTTTCAGGACCGTTGTGCCCGCGGACGCGTCTCATGGATTGTTCGACTGGGTCAAAACAATTACGAATCGATCGAAAACACCGCCTCTTCCGCCCGGAGCCGAAGAGGTCGGGGAACCTCTCCGAGGGCATTTCATTGAAGAGCATACGTCCACAACAAGTGAACCCTAGTAAGAGCTCGGCTGGGAGATTAGTTTGCTGCTATGTTTTTTGTCCAACAGTCCTGTCCAAGCGGCAACAAGGGGTTTGCAGAGAAGTACTGCTGTCGCGAGCTATTGCGCGTTCGTTCAGGTTTCCTCCGAGGATGGCAGCTTGGGGAGAGGAAAAGATTTTGGTGGCTTTCACGTGGGAAACTATCCACTTTGAGACTTTGCACTAGGAGTCATGTCATGTAGACTTGGGCATGAAATCTTGAGTGTTCGTTGCATTGGAAGCCGAAGGTATGGCTGAACGTGTGATAAGTCAAGCTTCCATGCATGGCGTTCTGAAGATGCAACCTTGTTGGCTCTTGCAGTTGAGTGCAGTGGATCACGCCTTGTGGCTTAGTAGTACTATGGCAGCATTCGTTCCCTCAGTACACGCAAGATTAGTGACCTGGGCGAAATCTTTGAAACGCCCCAACACCTGCACTGCAATCTAAGTTTGATTCCAGCATCTCTTCGTCGACGCCAATAAGGACACCGGCTTCCCTCGTCAGGGGGAGGCCCGAATCGCAGTAGTCTTTACCCACTACAAAGGGGCTGGCAGTTTTCTTCGTTGAGATTTAGCTAAGGGGGGGGTCTCGGAAGAGAGAGAGGAAAGATAGTGCCGCCCGAGGGGCGAGGGAGACCAAGCCTGAGGGTCTCGGATTCCCCAGCTCCGCAGGTGGCGTCAGGAGGGACGCATCCGTAGTGGTTCTTACTGATCAACCATCAGCAAGATCCTCCGCTCGGATCGCATCTTGGTCCTACTTTTATGTGTGCAACAAATGTTACAGCAGTCATCCACATTCCAGCGAAGGTTAATTCCCCCCGAAGCTCAACTGTAGCAATGGTGTCCTTTTTTTGAAGGAGTGCCGTAAGGATGCGAGTCTATGCACGTGTCGGTGGCATCAAACGATGCGTAGTTCCAGCAAGAACAAATGATTTAATTCGATTTCCGCACCGGTATCGGCGTCATCACACCCCAGTGCGATGACACCGGTACCAAGTGGTTCCGATGGACTTGCTGCGATGCTCTTATCCGCATCATTCGCAACGTACGTGGAGCAGAGGCCATATGACGCAAGAAACGGGCAGACCAGCCTTTGAATCGCTACGGGGGGAGAGGAGAAAAACACAATTCGCGCGGTACGCAGAATGCGTCATGACTCTCACGGCGTCATCAGCGCACCAATGCCTGCACAACAGCAAGCCCCGGGCCCCAACGTATTGTGCAAACAACCCACCGCCCCTACCTTCTCCCGAGCAACGGTCGAGCCTCCCTTTTTTTTTTGCGGTTGCTCGTCAGGTCGGCCAAATCAAGCAGCAACAAGGCCAGCGCCAATGGCGGAGGCCAAGCCCGAGGAGGAGGAGGAGGAGTTGCTCACAAGCAAAGGCAAAGGCGACCGGGAGCAGGCAAGAGCGGAGCGGGGGGGACGGCGGTTGGGCGGGCGACCAAGGGGGGGTCGTCCGGGCTCTGGATGAGACGCCACCTCAAGGTTTGCGCTCCTTCCTTTGGAGGCGTCGTCTTTCGGTCGCACCGAGTTTCCGTTTCGGCTCGCCCTCGTGTTTTGAGCCCATGCCTCTAGTATCCGTTGCGCACATGCTCCACTATTTATTTTCTCTGCTGCCCTACCGTGTGCCTCTAGCCCGTTTCATGTGGTTTGGGTCGTGTTTCTCGCGCTCTTGCCCATTCGGTCGTGCCGGGTGCTCTCTTTCCGTTGTCTGACCTGTGGGTCAACCCCTCCTCAAGGTAACTGATTTTTTGGTTGTCCGGAGATGTTGTATAGGGGAGCTGGGAAGCGTCACTTCCAGCGTTGCCGTATGGACAGGTGCTTTTTCGGCGCTCCTCTGTTCTTTCGGCATCTGCGCGATAGAGTAGTCCATCTTCATGGATGTTGACAGTACTGTAGGCACGCGGAAAATCCTTGACTTGGTAGCTATCCCGGGGAAATAGCTGCCCACCCGTAGGGGTGTCTGTGGACAAATTTAGGGTATATTATTTTGTTGTTCACCCGTGCTCTAGAATGCTCGCGCGCTTCGGGTGACCAATTTCAACAATAGCTGTGAATCGTGGGTCGACGCAGGACCCTTACGTGTCGGCGGCGATCGAAGCGGGCGCTCCCTCCCGCGCGGCCTTTAAGCTGGTTGAGATCAACGACAGGCACGGGGTACTATCGGCGGGAGACCGGTAAGTGAGAGCAACTCCCCCCCAACAGCCTCACCCTGACACACGCCGGTATAAGTGCGAAATGGCACGTGATATCGTTTTTCTTTCGTGCACAAACCCGAGCCTTCTCCCTTCCCCGTGTTGGAAATGGTAGAGTTGCTGTTGCCAAGCCTGTTGATGATGCTTGCTGTGCGGCCGGGTGGATACCTAAGTTGAACCTTCGTTATGTTTCGTGCTGAAAGCCCACGATAGAAGGGGAGAGGGTACGGAATTTCTCAGGCGAGCGGTAGGTTTTCGTTTTCAGGATGGAGACTTGCAGCTCGCCACATCAGTATTCGCCCCATCCTTTCACCTTCTCGATAACGAGTTTTCGCGTCTCTCTGGCAGGACTGTTGAGTTTTTTTTAGCGAAATGGGCGCAGAACGAAGTTTGTATTTGGCAGAGAGAACAAAAACACGAAGGCGTTTGGGTGAGGTTCAGCTTGCCTCTAGTAGGCGCCTAAGCAAAGGATGTCTCTGTCACCCAAACCAGAAATTCCCATGTGCATGCTCCGCCACCCCCCCATACACACGACACTTCCCCTCCCCCGTCCCTTCGTACCCCATGGGCTGTTCAGAGTGGTAGATTTAGGAGCAGCTCCGGGCGGCTGGTCCATGGTGGCCGCACGCATCGTTCACGCGCGGGGACCTCGCACCCCTCAGCAGGGCGCCGGCCAGTCGGGGGGGCGGCAGCAGGGGGGGGGGGGCGCCCCCGGCGCTCCCGCCGCCCCTTCCCGAGGGGCGTCTCGAGGCGGCGGAGAGAAAAGGCGGGCGTGGGAGGGGGGCGGTGGTGGTGGCGGTGGATTTACTTGACATGGAGGCGGACTTGCCTGGGGTGCAGGTAAGGGAGAGATCGATTGACACGGGGGCTCTCTGAAGGTTGCCGTCGTACGTGGGCTTTGTTGAGGTTGCAGGACTACCGTGGGCACTGCCGCCTGTTGTGCTTTCGAGGAGGCGTTTTTTTGTGTATGGGGCACTTTTTCTTGCGATGAAGCTTGAAAGCGTTGTTTCGCGCCCCGAGTTTGTCGCGTCCCCGCCCATCGGCATATCAACAACATTTGCATTGATTTGCGTACTGGAGATCGTCCGGAAGGTTTCGCGGTGGAACGTGCACAAAACAACACCGGGCATGACGATAACTTACAACCTCATGTGACCATTCCCCTTTGACAGCAATGCCGACCCACGCACACAAGGAAACCCGCCCTTCGACCAACCGACACCAAGCCTCTTGCGACACCCTTTCGCCCGTCGGCAATGAAATAATATGTGGTAAATGCGTGTCAGGCGATCCGCGGAGACTTTCGTGACGAAGAGGTCGAGTCGAGGATCTTTGGCCTATTGTCGGCGAGGGAGCGGCTACAGCCGGCGCCCGGAAACGAGCGGCCGAAGCGGGACGAGCAGCGGGTGTTACCCCTGCAACCACCCGGGGCCACGGCGGCGGAGAGCGGAGAAGAACGAGCCGATCTTCGTCGCGACGAGACGAAGCTTCGCAGCAGCGACGGTTACAGCGTCGACGATGATAGCGTTGGCGACGGCGTTGACGAGGAGGAGGCGTTTCTTCTGCGGGGAACGTCGGCCTCTAGGACGCTGCTCCCGCGGCCCGAGCAGCCCTCGACGGACAGCCTCGAACACTTGTTCCTGGCGGTCGGAACCGGGGACCCCGCGACGGCGGCGGCGAAGAGTAGCGCTTCCGACGGGCTGCCACCGCCACCGTCTGCTGATCACCGCCATGGCGACGCCGCCGCCACAGGGAAACGTCCCCAGCAGCAACCCCCCCCCCGTCGTCGTGACCCGCCGCCGCCGACCCGTGCCAGCGTCGTGCTGTCGGACATGGCACCGTCGTTCTCCGGAGATCGAGACACGGACCAAGCGAGGGTCGCGGCGCTTGTCCTTGACGCCCTAGCGGCGTGCCTAGGGGATGAGGTGTCGAGGCGGAGAGAGCCGCCGAGAAACGGGGCGGGAGAGCGGGGGGAGCATTCCGTCGACCCGCTGGGCGGAGGAGAAGGGAGCGGTGCTGTTCGTCTTGGTGGAGATGTTACTGGCGGGGGGAAAGTTGCGCGAATGCGACGGGAGGAGGGAAACGAGCTGGGGGCTACTACCGTAGGAACCTTGTCTTCGAACGTGGGAGGATCGAGCATCGGCGGTACCGCTGCAGAAACGTCTATGTCTTCACCACGCAAACACGCGGTTGGAGGGAGAGATGAGTGGGGGGGGATTGCGGGAGAAGGGACAGGGCTGCTGGCGCGCGGAGGAACGTTCCTGGGAAAGTTCTTCGCCGGGAGGGACGAGCGGGAGGTGAAGGAAGAGGCCGAGAGGCTGTTCGAAAGGGTGAAGGTAGTCAAGCCCCCCGCTTCCCGCTCCGGCTCCGGAGAGATGTACCTCCTAGCCACAGGGTTCTTGTTGGGTGGATGGAAGACGTAAAGTCCGTTCCGAAACCCCGGCCTAGGGTCTTACGTGGTTTCTTGCGTGGCTGCGTGCCTTTGTTTCTACCGTCGACCGCGCTAGCTGGCTGACCACTAAAAGGTGTCAGTGTCAGTGCGGTTGAAAACAGAATGTTCTTCTAAATGCCGTGATCTGGGACCCCGTGAGTTGTGCGTGTTGCGTAGCTGTTGGATGGGGCGAGTTCTGTCTCATTGGTTCCGAATACACTGATGCTGCTTCCATGTCCCCATCTCTGAAAGTATATGCGAAAAATAGTCACCGGGGGGGGGTGCGCCTCGCTGGGTTGGTCCCGAGCCCAGGACAGGCTCGCAGCGGTGTTTCGCAGCAAAATATTGCAGGAATTCAGACTCGCACTGTTATCGGGGTCGGTAGGAAGCCTGACGGAGAGAATGGAACTCCTGGTGGAGGGGCACAGTGCGATCCTACACACCAGGGACACACATTCGAAGACGAGGATCGGTGTTCCGACCATTCGCAAAACACCGATTGACGTATGTCTTGGTAAACCCCATACGAAGTAATAATCAGGGAAGAGAGCGCTGCACAGTTCTCGCGTTAATAATCGAAGGCGAGCACCGCAGGAGAGGTGGGTAGGGGACCTCAGGGAGAGCAACCCGTGTGTGTGGCTGCGGATTGGAGATACAACTCCTGCCCGGCAGAAACGCTCTCTGTGTGTGACAGAACATCAGCGCTGCGCAGGGGGCGATAGAAGTAACGTATGTAGTGCCGCGTGCTGCGTCGCCCCCTCCCGCCGAAGGTACCCTCTGCATTCCGAAGGAGGTGCGAGGTTTTCTCGGAATCCGGTACTTTGCTCAGGCGCCAACCTTTCAAGCCTGCTTGCAGCAGCTAGACTTGTATCCAACCCGCTCGAACATCGTACCGAGGAATCTCGAGAACGTCGCTCGGTGAAGATTGGACTTTGTGTGGCAATCAAAAGGAACGCCACTCCCAACCAAAAATGATGACGAGTTTGTCAGTCGCATCAGGAACTAAAGTTCTTAGACAGGAACTGGAATCCTTAGGTAGGGGCTCCAGACTTAATTGTTTTGCGGTCTTTGACATCAAAGCAGTCAACGCACGCCTGCCTGGAGCCAGGTAGCGTAGAAAAAAGAGTTAACTTCACAGCTGAAGAGTCGACTCAAGGCGAGTTGGTCGACGAAAAGCAACACTGCAGCAACGCGGGAGCGTTAAACTCGATCGTATCGCCACATGCGCGCAGCACACACAGCTCGAGAGTGTGCGTTTCTGAGCCGTGTTCTCCCTCTGGGAATGCTACCCTGTTCGACTTCTGTTCGTCTCTTCGGGTATGCCTACTGGGGACACAATTTCATGGTGACAGAAACATCGTTAAGACACGGGCCACACACGCGCGCGCTTAAAAAGAGCTCTTGCTCCGAGAGTCAAATCTTCTCCAATTTCAATCTCCCGGGAGCAAGCACTACGACAGCAATGAGAAGCGAAATCCAACGGGACATCCGCAAACACATACAAGCAGCCTTTAGAAGCTGCTTCAAACCAAGAAAAAAGAGGTGCACGCAGTAAAATACACCTGTTGCAACAGACCAAGGACCACTCCAACAAAGCGGTAAAATTAAAAACACGTGATGACGCCACGCCTTAATCAACAACAGCAGTGCAGGCCTCTCTCCTTCTACACAGCTTCAACAAATAAATCGCCTGCTACACTGCTTTGACAAACAAATCATGAAACTATTATTTCACTGAAATGAAACTATTATTTTACTGGCGTGTACAAGGTGCTATGAATCTCAGGCGGCGCTACGCGACGCAGCTTGCAGCCAGCATGACACAACACAATTTCGGTTACGAGAAAGATTTTGGTCCCTTTGAGAAGCTGAGCGGAAAAAAAAAGAAACGGCCTTGGAAAATCGGTAGAAATACCTGCAAGAGCCGCTCTAAGTTAGGGTCTCTGTCGGTCTACACTCACCTCTCGCAGCGACGCTACATAACAGTTGTGCACAAACATGGGGTAAACAAATACCCAAGAACTATTTTTTCAGTGCCGTAAAGGAAATACCATAACAGCGCTGGAATTTCGGAAAGCGTCTCGGAAGCAACGCAACCTCCGAGAAAAAAAAAGTGCGACCCCTTCATCCCTGAAACTCCATCTTTCCCTCATAGTCCGGGAGAAATCAGAAAAATGACGGACTTGACCTGCCATGCCGCCCAGCTTCATGTCCGAACCGAGGTGGTCCGGTGGGGAACCGCGATCTCACCGCATCAACGTTACGTATACCGCAAAGCACAAGAGGGCAACAAGGACGACACGAGAGTAACCCTAGCCCAAAGCAGATTGCTGCCTGCTTCAGAGGGCCCTCCGGCTCAAAAAACAAAGAAACAAACACACGACAAACACCTTCACCACAACAAACACAAGAGCCGAAAAACAATTAAACATGATCAGAGTACCATCAACATGCTCTTCAATACAGGAATAGGCTACAGGGAGCAAGTCTACCAACAAACCATCGTATCGCTGCCTGCTTCCGGGGTCCTCTAGCTAAAGAAAGGGGCCATGACGACAAGAATTAAAGACAACATACGTTCACCGCAGCTACACACGCCCGGAAAAAAAAGAAAAGAAGAAAAAACGAACGCTCCCTCTCCCAAACACGCACCCCCGTCAATTCCTCACAGCGCCTGCTTGACCGATGGCATCAGGGCGAGCGCGCCAACCACAAACACGTGCAAAGAGAGGCACCCAAGGAAGAGATAGAAAAATCTAATGTTCTTCTCTCCGATGCACTGGAAAGGAGTGATGGGCCGAAGCAAAAGATAAGAGATAAGAAGCCACGTAAACGGCGGGAGGGGCGGAAGGAGAGAGAGTGTGAGAGAGAGAGATGAACCACCCGGCAAATGGGGAGCCGGGCGCGCAAAGAGAAAAAACAAAAAGCCTTCACGGGAGACACGTGGTTTGTTCCACGGTTGAAAACAATAGGCGGACGAACGGACGCACGAGCACGAGCACGAGCACGAGCAATCGATGAAAACACCACGCACGACTCCAGCAAAAAAAACAGCGCCAACAATGCCATCTGCGGTGGTGACAAATGGTAGTTACGCAGGAAACAGCTCGACAAACGTCAGCGATAACAAAACAGCCTGTTTGTCACCTTTCCTGTCCATGGGCAGTGGTGGTCGAACTTCTCTCCACCGAAGCCAAAACAAAATGCCGCGGACAACGCACAAGGGACGCAAAAAACCGCAAGCAGGAAATGCGGAACGAAAGACGGGGCGGGAGTCACAACGCGGTAAGGAAACGTAACGAAAGGAATATGAATGGGGATGTGGGAAAGGGATGGAAAAATCGCGGAAACGCTTGCCAACTGACGGGAAAAACACGTACACCCCCAGAGTAAGCGACCCACGGGATTGGAGACCATGGGGCTATGACGGAGGGCCACTAGCTACGGAAGGCGGGCCGGGGGGGGGGAGCAACATAACGCTGAGACATTTATGGTCTACACGGTTCAAGAGCAGCGTCCCGAGTCAGCAAAGCTTGCCCGAGCGATCGGATGAAAATCCAGGGGAGAATGCCGTGACGACCAGGAGGAGGAGTAGGAAGAGGAGGCCCTCGTTCCCTTCCCCTCTCAGAGAACCAGCAACCTAGAGCTCAAAGTCTGGCCCAGCATGCCTGCCCCTTTCATGGCGCTCGGGTGCGTGCCATTTCTCCGCGAGCCGTCCCAAAATACACAAGGAAACAAACCGCACACGAACACAACAAAAACACGCAAAAGGAGCCACAAACGATGACGGTGGTCGATGGGGAAGCCAGCCCTATTTGCATTAGGCTGAATGCTTAGCTACACGTAGGCGCACCTTGGTGACGCAGACGTTGCACTCGTTGCAATGGATTGCCCCCGCCGGCCGCTTGACGTCGCACCGACCTGGACGTGCGGCAGTGTTGGTTCGCGTTCCGATTCGAGGCAGAGTTCAACAAAAAAACAGAGACTGCTGTGAGGGCGGGCGGCCAACGACTTCAGGTAGGTATGCACAGGGCTTCGGTTGAAGAGCGATTGTACTTCATACCCGCTGTTACCGTGCGCATCCCATCACGACAGCCGACAGCGCATCGAGCAAAGTATCAGGGAAGGCGAAAAAACAAAGAAAAAATAATCGGAGTTGGGAGAGCATCCGAGAGTATGCGCATCTGGCGCCTAGCCAGTGCAGCCTAATCCGATTTCCATATCCATTGTGTGTGTGGCTAGAAGGAGAGAAAATTATTGTCCACGTGTTTTCGCTTGTGCGTGAACAAAAACAAAATAGTGATGCCTCGTTGGGGGGAGTTAGGGCGCTGTCCCTTCCGTTTGCCGCAGATCTGTCATGAGAGCTAGCTGCCAAAAACAGTCGTGACCGCCAGAGCCAAGACTTCTCAATCAGCGACGCCACTCGGAGTCGTGTCCGCTTCGCTTAACAAATACACCAGAGACGTTCGGAATCCAACGACAGAGACTACGGGAGGAGCAACGGCGATCTATGCACGCTCGTACAAAACAGGCGCGCCGCACACAGCGCTTCGTGTGTGATACACTTGCCGTCGTGCAGGGGGGGAGGCAGTCACTTCTGTGTTGTCTACATACCGCTGTGCCGCCAGGATTCGACACACATCACATACCGCTGCGACAACCCGAGCCTCACCGCAAAGGACGCCGCCCTCCTCCATGGCCATAGGCGGCAGGGCAGCGTCCTCCACGGCCGCTTCCCCGCCGCCCCCCCCACTCTCGCCGCCCACCGCCGCCGGCGGGGGTATTCTCCTCTCCGCGGGACGGTAGACGATGCCCGGGTCGCTGCACGCCGTCATCGAGAAGGCCAGAAGCAACGCGGACCCCGTGATGCAAACGATAAAGCTCGCCACCCAGTACTCCGCCCCGGTTCTTCGCATGGAGGACCCCGAGCGGACGGTAAAATGTGGGAGAGACACAAAGAAAGGAGACATAATTACCGTGACTTGAAAAAACTAAAAAAAAAGTGCATTTTACCGTGGGTTCCACCAAGTTTTTTTTCGCGGGCGCGGGGAAGACGCCGAGCGAACGGTGACCGTGGTTGTGTTCGGCGGGAGGAAAGGAGACACGATAACCGTGGAATGATAAATGCCATCACATGGTTCAAACAAACATTAACAGCGACAGACATCCCCCACAACAAACTCAAGAATCGACGTGGGTTGATCTCCCGTTCGGAAGCGAGAGGCACGGAGATACCCATACACTTCTCTCACCAGCTGGGATTCTACCAACAGCGGTAGCAATACATGAACGCCAAGCGGTCGCCCTGCAGGCACGGCCCCAGGTGGTGCTGCTATGTTGACAACGAAACACCCCCCCTGTCTCTGCTTCTACGTCCTTCTTTCACCCGAGCTGACGCGGAGGCGCTTCGTGGTCACAACAGAAAACATCTACATACCCAGGAGAGGCACCAAGCTACTAGAATTGTGCTTACACGAGAATTAGGAGCGCGAGGGTTGGAGTAAGGACGAGGCCATAGGTTGCCAGCATGCACATCCAGTTCGGGCCCACCTGCAACCACCAAACGACGCAAGGACAAAAAAGAGAAAAAAATGTTGGCACGTTCAGTTCTATGATGGGGGGTAGCCTTCACGCTTCCAGGATCAAGCGGCGGGAGCGACTACTATAGCCATCAACACGCCCACCAGCAACAGCACGTGTGAGTCATGGGGTATCCAATTCGCCAAAGACGCCCACCGCCCCCCCACCACTGTTAGCACAAGATGCCGAACACCCTTAGCATGATGCAGCGCACCGTCCGGGCGACTCGCCGAATACCTCACGGGGCTTCGCGCTTGGTGGCGTGAGAGCCTGGTCCGGTGAGAACCCGGCGTGCTCCGTCCCGGCTTTGTAGGGATGCGAGGTCAATGGTCTAACGACTGCGGCATGCACGACTATGAGTACACCCCCCCACCACCAGTGTTCGATCGCTCGGCCGCAGCAGCAGCGTCGTCCCCGACAGCATTGGTAACCAGTGCTGGAACGGATGGCAATATGACGTTCGGAACGGCTCTCTACCAGAGGGGGCGGCGGAAAAAACGCCACAATTACGGGTATCTTCCCGTCGTTTCGGAGAGATATTTTCCGCATCTCAAAAAGCCACGGAATACCGCACGATACTGCTTGGCATCTCGTTTACGCTGACACCACGCATACGACGGTGAAGCTTGCCAGCGCGATAACGGGTCCAACAGTCTCCAAATCACGCGGAGAGCTACCCAGCAGACGAAACCAAAGGTGGCGCAAAACAAACCACCGTCCTCTAGATAGGCAAGCACCCGGCACAAACAGCAGTCCTGATCGACCAGGACCCTGTAAAACCGAGAACATGGTTATTGCAACGCTGGAGGTCCCACCATCCTAAATGTACTGTAGACACAGATTGCTCCTGCCGCATTTGGCTATAGGGGCTGGAACCAGTAGCCTTCTCGGGTGTTTTTCGATAAAATAACCATGCTGAACAAAGAATGAACTGGGGGAAGTTGGGTTAGGGTTAGGGGTTAGGAACGTAGGGTCTGCGTACCCCCTCCCTGTTCTATTTCCTCATCAACTTGTTAATCGCACGAAAGCGGTCCGCTGGAATGGAGCGAAAAAGCTGCTCGGCTCACCAGGCAGTGCTGTGGGAAGCGGCCTTCCTTGGTCCCGCACAGGAGGATGGTGTTGCCTACCCGTCTCGGGCCGCAGTAGAACCTGCAACAGAAAAATGGCATTTGGGTACGCGGCGGACACGGTCCCAGCAAGCTTGTCGGGAGGCGTGTTGTGTGGAGAACGCGGCACATTTGGCGTGGCGTGTAGTACCAGGTGTTAACACAACCCTTACACTGCGACTTTCTCGTGCCTGGTGCATGCAGCACCGCTACTTTGTCTCCCAAACAACTGCTGTGTACACCATCGACAACTAGTGGCAGCAGTTGCCAACGAACGCCTTTGTCCAACGCTCAGCCGCGAGATATCGAACGACCATCTATGTTTTGATGTACGAACACACATGGGTCGCGAGTCATGAGCAACCCTGCCACATATTTGGACAACCTCCGGTTCGTGTTAGCACGCTGACCGTTCCCCTGTAGACGCCAAAATTCCCCAAACCAGACCGACAAAACAACGGCACGGCGGAGGTAAAGCCCCAAGAACAACAGCACGGCGCTAGCGTGAAGCATGTCTCACGTGGGGTCCCCGGCAACCCTCTCCAGCCCATCAGGAAAATTCTTCGCGCATGGGCAGCAAGTCATCTCTCGCCCCCCCCCCCGCCCCTGGCCTGGTCTTGTTATCCTCGAAGGCGGGAAAATGGGGCGGAGGAAACCGCGGCTTCACAGAACGGTATCGGCCACACCGCCTGATCGCGACAGCAGTAAGTTTGGAGCGCGGGAACGGGGGGGTTAAATCGTGTGTTGTCGAACAGCGTATGTATGTATATTCTTCTCTCCAGAGAGGCACACGAGGGTTAGGGTACCGTAAGGGGCGGAGAGATGGCTTCCCCCCCCTGGAACGACTTTCAAAAAGCTCGATTTTGTCTCGAACGGGTGGTCTTTCTGTGAGACTATAGGGTACTTTCTAAAAAGCTCGATGGGGGTGGGGAAAGAGCCCGGTACGTCGACGGCGAGCCCTCAATAATCTTGGTGTTGGCACAAGCTTGGTTGTGGAGCAATCGAGCTTTGAAAGTCGCTCTGGGGGGGGCTGCCATCTCTCTGCCTCTTCCGGTGTCTTGCCCGCATGAAAACAATTATTTTAAAAAAAACAATGAAATCGCGCAACCACGAGACGAAAGGACAACAACCATCGACCCGTGGTTTTAAAAAAAAAGCACGCAAGTAACTGTGCGAACATGTTCGACCCTAGACTACTGGAAAAGTACATCGATACCAAGACACCGCATCTGAACTTTGGAGGCTTGCGCAGGCAGCAATGCATACCCTGGCTGCTCTCGTCACGGTTGTGTGCGTGATGTTCACGGACAGCGACCTGTATGCATGCATGCATGCATAGCCGCAGTTCTCAGAACTCAGAACAAATATCCGACACGACGAGAACCTTGGTCCGCGTGCTTGCCAAGACCCCAGAGAGAACAAGGGAAAGATTGTAAGTGTCTTCATCTAGGGAGAGGGAAGCTTTCGGAAATCGAGGAAAGGGCCAGCTGCCCGGGTGCGGGGGTACTGCTATATCTTCTCGTAGTCACAAGCTGCATCCTGTGTGTGTGTGTGACCGTGCTTGTGTTTTCGGGACGATGTATGTCGGTGTGCCCGCAGACAGGTCATTTTCAATGAAACGTCTGTATGTACCTAGAAGCAGAGATACCTCGCACAAGCTGCACTGTCTCTCTTGCTCTCTTCGATTCCCGGGATCGCCTGCTCTCACACCCTAGAACGAATGACGCGGTTGAGTGTGCGCGTTGGCCCCTCACCTTTGCTTATTCGCACCCCTTGTGTAACGTGGGCATTTGGCTCAAGGAACAGCACCAGCACAAAGCCCGCCTGGGGGGGGCACGCGAGCCGCATACATACACCCACCCACACCCACCCACAAGCTGGATTGGGTTCGCCGCCATCTGCGGGCCGCGTTCCCAAACCCATGGCAGCACGGCGCACGGCAACGCAGAGCTACACACCAGGGCAGCAGCCGGGGAAAAGTGAGCTGTCTACCACCGGCGCAGCCATAGTGACGAACTGCCTAAGTCTCCGTGGTAAGTCCTGGGGCTGGTGTAAAGTACACAGAGATAATTCTGGGCATCACGGCTGCGATGACGCGATCCACGTCCAACGAAATAACGAAATTGCCCCGCATTTTTAGAAGCGCCGCATATCGCGTAACCATCCCACCCCTGCTCCTGACTCTCTCCCAGGCGCGCTAGAAAAGGCACGTAGTTCGCGAAGTCGCTGTGGCCTGCGTATATTTTTCGTCCAACATGTAGTCGCAGTCCGAGAAAAATAGTTTGTTGGGATAACACGACGGTTGTGCCTAAAGTTGTGGTTGACAATGTAGGGCGGCTGTCTCTAGAGCCTTCAAAGCGAAGTCACCGCAGTACAGCAGCGCCAGTGGGGTCGTTCACTTGTTTCTATTCCATCCACCCAGCAAATGGAGCTGTAGTTTATGCAGTTTGTACTTGCAACTTCGGTTGCTGTGGCGAGCAACCTGCCGCTCGCTACAGCAGTACCACTTTGTTGGTTTGGAAACGGCAGAAGTTACTAAGCTTGCGATTTATCCTTGCTCCCTAAACGCAAGCTCCTGCCTGGTTGCTCTGCCGAGCTGCCAATGCTCAAAGCAACGCACGGTCTTGTAGTATTGAAACGCGCTCAGCTGTTTGCTGGGGTCGTCGTCTGTTGACGAATACCGTTCACGCATACTTGTAACCACGCCGATCCCTGCTCAGGCCCCCTCTAACATCGGTAACTCTGGTCCAACTGACGTGGATGTCGTATTTCGAGGAACTGCTGTAACAACCCAACATTGCCCGAATATCCGTATATACTTGAGACATCAAATAAGAAAACAAAGAACCCACGTCGAAAATCAACGCCAACGCGATAGCTAAGAGTCAGCAGAAGACACAGACGCCGAGGGTCACATGTCCAACAATACAACGAATCGTACGCAGCGAGGGCCCACCGCTCCCGCTCGACACGCGAGACCAACCAAAGTATAGCAAAGATCATACCAAGTACAAGGTTCCCCTTTTTGCGAGAGGTAGGTGATTTGCCTCCCGGGGGCGACGCAAGAGGACATGGCCAATCAATGCAATCGCGGTCGCATGGTTGGTCGTCATAACGTTCGGTAGTGCCGGCTTACGTGCAACCTGCATAAAAATAATTTGCCTGGAATTTGCATCATACGTGCGGGGTGTTTTGTTTTCACCCGCCGTGACGTTCCCTTGTGCGCGAGTGACAGGTTTGGGCTAGCGGTTTGCTGCAGGTCCTACTGCTGTAATTCGCTGCGTTTGATCACTTTCTCTTCTTGTGTGATCGTGTTTCCCTTGACTTTTTCACGCATACGCCAACAACAACGCATCAAAGAGACGCTCAACGTGCCCAAGAACAGTCACAGATAGATGTAGACTGCTATCGTACCAAACTTGTATGTTTTACTTTTTTCGATTTTTCGGAATTGAAATGTACAAATTTATTTGCCACTGCCAGAGTTGTGCGAAAGGACTTCTGTGTCGCGTGGTGTGTTCCCATGAGCTTCAAGAGTCTTGATCCCCGCTGTGGGTACACATGCGCCAGTTGCCGTGTGGTGGTCGTGTGCACAACAATCACCGCAGCAGGTGTGTGGGCGTGTGGGCGCGTGGCGCGTGGCGCGGGGTAAAAAAAAAGTCATGTCTTCAGTTTTCGTGTCGTTCGAGGAGGCGTTTATGGTTCGGATTCCCAACCCCTGAAAAACGAGCCCAGTCCCAGCGACTTTAGGCGGCCCTAACGCGCACCACCGGTGTCTCGCGAGCCCCACACGTAACGGGTAATGTACTGACGGGTCCTCTGCGTGCCATGCAGAAGAAAGTGCGAGAAAAGACGTTGCCCCAGCGGAGAAAAACGACTGCGAAGAGTAAAAAAGTCGAAATCCCACATATGCATATCTAGTAAATCAGCATGCAAGATAATAAATCGACTGATTCTATCCTCGCATGTATGCATACCCGTACCGCATGCGCACAAGCCGAGCTGCATTCACCACCGGGTTTTGCACGTGCCATGCCGTGGGGGAGATTGCGAGGCAGCTTTCCTGCCGGTGTACCTGTCGCACTGAAACAAGCGCGTGCATCAGGTACCCTTTGTCGTGTCTCCTCTGCGTGGTATCCCCTTCAACGTGAGATTTACGCGCAACAGACCAGTGAGCGCAGAAAAACCACCAAGAGCGGGCCCTGGAAGAGCTCCTGTGATTCGATTTTTTTACCTTTTGTGCGCCTGCTTAGTTGGGCAGCTATCCCTGAAACAGCTGCGTGCTTGTGTGCATCCGTAACAAAATGCTAACTGGGTCGCGCTTCCCGCCGTGCCACGCCGCCCAGCACGGAAGCGAAAACATGGGGCCTAACTCAGGAGGGGGGAAGAGAAACAAGGTCGATGCTTCCAAGGTTTCATCGGCTAGAGGGCGCTTCAGCAAGAGCGCTTTTCCGGTAAACAAGAAGGTGCCGAGGGTTTTGAGCGACATGCCGGGGTTACCGACAGCAGTATTATTTTTGGGCCGTCTGCTGTGCCCCTGCCCAGTAGGGAGAGGGAATCCTGTCTGCTGTAGTTATACTGAAAGTGAGCGGGTACCGACGAACGTCAACAGGCATGCAGAACATTTTTTGGATGAAGTGGTGGCTGAGGCGGTTGCCGTACATGCTATCCGTCAGCAGTCCGATGACTGTGGGGTGGGTGCCGCTACACGACTCTCTCAAGTGTGTGGCGTGTTTTATGTGTTGACGGGGGGGTCCTCTAACCGCCCGGCTTGAAACTGCGACTCTTTTCACCCCACCTGCCTCGCTGCTGACCGCTGGTAGGCTGGTACTCTTCCGAAACGGTTGAGGCTCTGCGCGGTCACCTGCCGCTAATTCTGCTGTGTCGCATTTGTTTCCTTCTTCACAACACACCACCGCTTGACCTGCCCCAACCAACAGACCAAGAAAGGAGGCGGCGGGCGCGGCGCCGGCGCCGGCGGCGCGAAACCGTCCGACGCTGGCGGGAGAGGAAAGGCCGGCGGGGGCAGGGGAGGGGGGGGGCGGCCCACAGACGCCACCGTCATCCAAAAGCTTTCGGAGAGAGTTTCGTCGGGAGCTACGTCGGGAGTCGGCTTGGCGGCAGGAGGCGGGAGGGATCCGTTGAAGGGAGTTGACGTTGCCGGCCTGGAGGAGATCAGCATCGCTGAGGGAGACTGGCAGAGCGTTTTTAGGTGTGTAGCAGCACGCATGCAGGGGGGTGGCTCTACGCACCGGTAGTATCGGCAGGAAACCCCCTCCGTCTCATGAAGGGGCTTGTGAGAGGGTTGGCGAATGCGCTTTCGTGTTCGCCTGTGGTGGTGGCAGACGGGTAGAAAACGGGGAGAGCCTTATGGACATTTCCCTCTATCCTCCGCCGTCCTCGCCAGCAGCCTCCTCCGTATTAGCCCGGTCTGCAAAAACAAGTCATGATTCGTGCCGGCTTCGTAGAGGTTCGGGTACGGATGGTATTTTTTGTAGCTGACGGGGAGAGGGGGAACAGGGTTACGTTATATCACGACATAAAAAAAAACAAAAGATCGGAGTGCGTTCTTTGTTGTTGTCCTGGCGGAGGTACCGCCAAGTTTCGAGCTCTCCTTGCCTGTGTTATGCGGAGGAAGGACCTGCTTTTTCCGATCCATTTTTTTGGGAGGGGGAGGAGGGACGTTCCCTCCTGTTTTTTTCTTGGTGCTTCATATACCTCCGGTGATGATCAGGGATTCAATACTCCCCTCGAGACGGAGCGCTGCTCAAGCTCCTTTAGAGTTTTGCTAGAGTAACGTTGGGCATCACGCCGGGGAGGAATCTACTCCGCTGTGACGCTGCAGCAGAACCTCGTTGTACAGGCGCCAACGTTATCGTTGTCAAGCTCTCTCGACTCCGCAAGCTCTCTCGACTCCGCATCATCAGCGAATCTATCGACCAATTTTGTAGTGTGTGTTTTCGTGATTTTCCCTAGAAGTTACCCAATTTATTTGGCACTCTACCCGATGCGCGCCAGGCTCCTCAAGGACATCGGTCTGTTCGATTCTGCGGGCCCAGACGGCGTCAACAGCAGCAGCGGGAGCACCCTGTCCTCCGCGGGACCGCCGCCCCCGCCGAGAAACACCGCCTCCTCTGGAAACCCTAACACCGCGACCGGTCCGGGCGCCTCGTCTCGCCAAACCTCGGCAGAACCCGCTGCCGCCGGTGCTTCCGCTCGCGGCACTACTACGGCCACCACAGCAGCTGCTCCTTCCCATCTGCCGACACCCCCTGCGGCGAGTCAAACGCAGCAGGAGCAGCAGCACGACCCTGCTATCATGTCTTACCTGACGAAGCTCCTGGCGTTCCCGGAGGCGGACGCCGCGGCGGCCTTGTCGAACACCTCGGGGAACGATCTCGCCGAGGCGCTGGACTACCTCTGCCTGCACACGGACGACGAGGGGCTGAAGCGGGGGTTCCGCAGGGGCAGCGGCGGGGGAGGAGGGGTGGGTGTGGGGCGTAAAGGTGGTGGTGGTGGCGGAGGGGGCGGAGGACGGAAAGTCATTGCTGCTGCTTCGTCTGGATCTTCGGCGATTGAGGTGCGCGATGTGAATCGAAGTGTGTGTGCGTGTGTTTGTCTTGTGAAGCATCGACCGCTCTCACTTTCGGACCAATGAAAATGTCAGTGCGTGTGTTTATTTGTCCAACCTATCATGGCGTCACTCTTAGGATGTGGTTGGCTTGCTTTTTTTTTTCGAGCTTATTGTCGTTCGATCTTGGAAGTGTTGAGGAGGGGCAAGGAACCAAGAACGGCTCCCATCGACTGGATACGTCGCCGGGTATGCATACGTGCGGCGTGTTCTTCCTTGGCGTTTCCTGGGCTGCGAAGGTTTCACCGCATGCTGTTGCTCTTGCTTGTTCTGGTTCATCACCATGATTCGCTCCTTGCATCAGCGCTGATGGTTCTAGTTTCTACTCCCGAACAACTCCAACATCAAGCTGAAGCAAAATAACGGAAGCAAGACAACATGCTCCAGCTTCGCGACAAAACGACCGCTCTCCCAGAAGTAAAAACTGAGGTGCCTGTCCGTGTATAACACCCTGGATCACTGCCTGTGACCCCGGATGACGGGTCAAACATGATCTACCGCAAGGTGCAGAGACTGGCGGCCAGAATAGGCTTGACGAACACACTACCCGAACAACGACAACCTCCACGTTTTCTGAACTTGCGCGGAAGGTGGCGAGCAGCGCGGACTGGAAGGTGGAGCACCGCGTGCTCTCCCTGGTAAAGATGGGTTTCAAGAGGGAAGAGGCCGAGGCCGCCCTTTCGGCGTCCCCGTCCGGGGAGGTGATGGGACACGATACTCTTACGCGCCTGCTGGAGCCCTTCCGACCCTCTGGTTCCGGTGCCGGTGCTGGTTCCAAGGAGTCTTCTCTTTCAACAAGAGCCGAAGAGGTGATGATGCCTTTGGGGTTCTAGCGCTTCTCTCGTGTGCGAGGCCCTGCTTCTTTTTCTCGATGTAGTTTTTGCTTTGCGGATTGTGTGTTTCTTTTTTGTTCCTCTTGGTTGTTCTTGTCGGATTTTGCTCTAGTTTGTGTGGGAAGCTGGTGCTAGGCCGCTTGGCCTTAGAAGAAGTTGCGCCTTTTAAGTATTCCGAGTGGACTTAGTCCTTCTTGAAAATATCTGAAAAGAGTGGTACTGATCCTCCATGACCGGTCAAAAGAATATGATTCGACTCGGTCAATCGCACTGAATTCGTCTCTCCTAGAGAGAAGAAAGAAGAAGACGAGCATCATTGAAGAGAGAAAATGCCGTGATGTCCCACTTTGTATCGACTCGCCGCCCCGTCGAGGGAGACGGAGTGTGTATGCATGGGTGGCGCAGCACTCGGAAAGGTGTGTTGAAAAGTTTTGAGCTTACCGAAAAAAGGTGCAGCGGGGGTCCCCGAATATGGCAGTGGTGGAGCAGCCGACAATGACTGCCTTACGTGGGGCAGCCGCCTTGTTCAACGTATTGAACAACTTGATTATTCCGTCTACTACGCTGGCCAATTTCACCCGCCTTTTTTAGGGCGACCAACCATTTTATTCAGACCGCCTTATTCGTGGACTCGCGCTGTGCTCGTTGGGCCTGGCAGGCGTTTTCTAGCCGGGGGGGGGGGGGGTACGGGCGGTTCGCTTCCTGTTCGATTACAGACAACATAGCTCCTGTTATCGCTCATAGACGGACGTGCTGCACCTTTTACTCACGCATACTTCGAGCAGTTCGCGCTGACGCTAGAGAATATACCTAGGCACTGCGATATATATAGGACGTTTTTTTGCTGAGTATTCACCACTCACCACCCTTGCCCCTGCTTTTTTTTTGTCTTGTCAGGAGTTAGTCTTGTCTTCCATCTTTGGCGAAAAGGCGTTTCGTGTTGTAGGGGGGAAGGAAGGACGGGATGCTCTTCGGTGGGACGTGGACGTGGGCTTGGAGTTCGACGGGGGAGGCATTTCTGCCGACACGACCGTCATGTTCCTGTTCCAGAGAGGGAAGAGGTGAGCCTTGGGTGGTGGTTTGTGTCGCCGTTTTCATCGTCCATGCTGTTGTTTTTGTTGTTCTAGGTGGTGGTGGTGATGGTGGTGGTGATGGTGGTGGTGGTGGCGGTGGTGGCGGTGTTTTTTTGGTGGTGATGATTGTGTTGCTGGCGTCGTCGTTGTTGGTGATGTCGCTGCAGTTTTCGGGGCAAACTTGGTGGGCCGCAGCCCGTATTCGATACTTTGTGTGTCATCACAGCCGACGAGTGTATTTTTGGGCCGCAGCCCGTATTCGGTACTTTGTGTCGTCACAACCCACGAGTGTTTTTTTTTTTTCGAGGCCAAGAGTAAGAAGTGCATTCAAGATTAATGGCTACGGCTCGGGCCAATCCATTGCCACGAATATAAGACCATGTACTGATTTGTAGATCTTTCTCAAGAATCTAATCTCAAGAGTTTCTTTGGGCTGTAAGACCCTGAAGACTGCTGTAGATTTGTAATTTTCTTTTTTGGCTCGTTGAGATCCGCTGGGCTGTTCGAGTCGAAAAAACGTTAGCTGTGTGGGCTTGGGAAACGTCACACCGCAGCTGGCTGTCAGGTGTGGGGTGGTCCCGCCTGCCTGGTTTTATTTTCATCCTGCGTCACCCCTTGATGTGACTGCCGTGCTCTCACGAGCCCACTCCCGAGGGATCACTTGTACGAAATACTTTGCACACCTTTACCGGCGATAAGAAGAGGCAGGCACCCTGAGCAGGACACCATTTTTTTTCGGCGCTGTTGGCACTTTGTCGTGCTTGGTATTACCCGTGTGGGGAAACCCGAGATTCGGCGTTCCTGTCAGCGATTCCGCCGCTTTTGTAACTGCTTCGAGCTCGCACGCGCCCTCATACATGTTCTTTTGCGGGTTCGAGCCCGCATGCTAGCCCCTTGACAGTTCTTTGAATACCTTCGTTTTCGAAAGCTCGGCGCTCATGTTCAAACTGACATTATACAGGCCGCTGCTTTGCATCCCGGCATATCGCTCCGTCCCGGCATTGTCGAGGTAACGGTCTAACGACTACGCCGATGCGTTTACATGAGTACCCCCCCCCCCCCCCCCTGAAGGGAGGGACCCCGATGAGGCCCCCCTCGTCCTAATGACGAACGAATCCCTTCCGCCGGGACTAGCCCGGAGGCTCATCGAAGCGGCCAACGCTCGGGCAGGGGCCATGGTGGGTGTGGTTTGGGGTGTGCGGTGGGGACCAAGCGGATTCGGAGGACTCCAGGGTTTCGCTGTGTGTTGCATGAAACGTGTGCTGAGTTTTTTCCCTCTTCAGTGATTCCGTCCCGAATGTCGTCAAGTGTATGGATTATTCCGTTTTCAGTGTGAGTGTGTGTGTGAAAGAACCGATCTCGAAAATCGCTCATCGCTTTCCTTTTTGTCACTCACCCGAAGGCCATTGTGGCAGTACACCGAGCTCGAGAATGGCGGCGAGTCCCCAACCCTCCCGATCCCGACCCTTGGCCTCCGTTCAACGTTTCTTGTCTCTCTCGTCGAATGCCTTGAGCTGCCACCTTATTCTCGATGAGATGCGCACGTGTTCAATGCCCTCAAAGAAAACAGCAAGCAGTACGTACGCTCAAGAAGCTGAAAACAACGCATCAAAGAACACACCCAGCCTCCTACGGACTTCCCTGACCCCCTTCCCTTGTCCCCCCTTTCTTAATTTCAGGCCGGTCCAGACCCAATCGTGCATGGGCTCGTGGATTGGCTCCAGGGGGCTTCGAAGGCCTGTCACACCAAGTTTCTCGCCGCGGTACGGGAGAGGGAAGAGCGGGCGGCTGCGGAAAAGAAAGAGGTGGGGGGGGCGTGGAGCAAGAAATGTGTTGGGGGGGGGGGGATCAGGGTTGCTCACGCTGTATATTCGCGGATGAAGAGTGACCCAGAGTCAGAGCGTTGGTTAGTCTACTGGGGAAGCTGCGGTGCGCACCTTTGCAGTACCGCACATGTAGTGATGTGTGTGTGCATTTCCTTTGCTCTCGGCGATAGGCTCAAGAAAGGCCCGGTCCAGACGGCCAGACAGAAAAACACGCTATTAAAGTGTTTTTTTTTGTGGCAAATCGGAAACCGCCCCCGTTCGTCACCAGCAAGCGGTGCCATGGTCATTGTGGTCGTGCCGAAGCACACTTGTGTTTGCTTTGCGCCGAGACGGCGTGGGCGGGACGAGGCAACAGAAGCGGTGAAGACTGGGGTCTCCCACGGCGTGTGGTCCTCGGTGCTGTGTACGATGTGCCATGTATCATGCACACACCGCCCGTTGTTCATGTGGTTGTTCGTTCCTTTAAAGGGAACTCTGATGGAAGCTGATTCGGGCGTATTTTGCGAACCATTTGATGCTTTCGGCGCTGAGTGTGCGCTGCCGTATTTGTTTTTTGTTGTTTCGAAGTCGTCTTCAATCGCATCCAGGGGCTAGGGGGGAGGAGAAAGACGGGGGGGGGGGGGAGGGAGGGAGGGGGAAAAAGGGAGAGAGGAAAGAGAAGAAAAGGGAGAAAAA